TTAACAAAAGATATCACACCACATTATTTTGGTGGTCCGATATTTGTAAAAACTTATTCAAACTATGCTGAAATTATTATCACCTTCCTTCCATGAAGTGAATAGAAAATCTATGTCTCAAATTAATTAGTCCATTTATTCAAGCAAAAAATATAATACGTTCCAATGTAGAACAAACTTATAACATAAAAATAATGTTGCATGAGGTTATTACACATTTACACTTAAGAACGATATCAAGAGGCAAGAGCGAATAGCTAAACATATTCTCCAACTTTAATATTCACATACAAAGAAACTTGAAAAGTTTTAAACACCGATGTTCTGCAAAAATGTTTCATACCACTTCCACATACTTCTCGTAAATAGGTTTTTAGCAAAGCCAACATAAAAGAAAATGCATAAGAGAATATTACAACAATATAAAAATCGGACAATCGTTCCTCTCTCTTCTCTCTCTTCTCTCTCTTCCTTTTCTAGATCTAGGATTTTCTCGCGGCCGCCTTTGTTAAAGAGCTTCATCGACGGAGGTTGGGTTAGCGGCTGAAGCGGTGGTGGGTGCCTCTCTTCTCCGGTGGTGTGTGGTGTGGTGGATCTGTGGTTTCGATGCAAATCGGTGGCTCTCCTCACGGCAGCTATAAGATGATGTTCCTCCGTGTCTGCTGGTTAAAGGACGCCGACGGATTGGAATAGATTCTTTAGGTTCGGCGGCTTGTGAGTTGTAGCTCCGGTGAGCGGCGGAAGTCGGACTATGGATCGGTGGGTTCACCACTTTGCGAAGGGATTAACGGTGGTTCTTTGGCCGGATCCTAGATGGCGAGCTGCGGGTGTTCCTTGGCCGGATCTTGGTGGAAGATGGTTCGTCTGAGCCAACGACTCTCTTCCGCCGCCATGGCTGGTTTTTCCTTCGCCGGATCTGAAGTAAGGTTTGCTCTAGGGGAGGTTTGAGGGTGGGCATCGGTGGAGGTGAGGGTGAGTTTCGATTCCTTCTTCTTGCTAAGTTGGGGAGATGAGGTATTGGGGCCCGGTTGTGGCGGTTTTCCCTTTTCCGAAAGGAATGTTCCAGGTTTGGCTTTTTCTCAGCGATGGTTTGCGGCGGGGTTCGCTAGCTCAATCCAAAAACTTGATGTCGAGGTTGTAGCCACAAAGGAGCCGTCCTTGCTAGCGTCGGATCTAGAAGGCGAAGTTCGTGTTTTCCGGTGTATTGCACGGAGCTGATCTTGTTTTCGCTGGTTTTCGTTTTGGGCCTCTTCTATTTTGTAACCGTGGTTGGTCGTTTAGCCCAACTTTCATAAGCCCATTTGGGATTAATAAATTAAATTTTAAAATTAAAAAAAAAAAAAAAAAAAAAAAAAAAAAGAAAATGCATAAGATATCTGATATCATCATCAATGTATGATGGATTCCAAAAGAGAATGTTATCATCATAACATTTGCATCCCATTAGGCTCAACTAGATGCAAAAGAATCAAGATGGGCCCATTGAAGTAACTTGCATTTTGGACTGGGCCTGTCCTAAATCACTTGGCAACTACGGGACCCACATGAACATGTGCCGAAGATAGGCCTGAATCCCCGAGAACAAACCTCCACTACAAAACAGAAGACTTGTGGCTTGCGTATCATATAATACGACGCCGTATCTCTACTTGCTTGAACAAACTCAAACAGATACATCTTAAGAGATTACACCTTATCCAACTAAGACTAAGAGAAGCCATTTTTATCTTTTGGTCTCTGAGTTGTGTATTGAGCTTCATCTCCTTCAAATGGCTTCCTTATCAACCACTTCTCTAAGCTTCAAAGCTCCGTCCACAAGAATTTCTCAGGTGACTTTTACAATTTCTTCTCTTGAATCTCAATATATAGTTTGGTTGTCATTTTAGAAGTCATAATAATCTCAACCAAACATTTCTCTTTAATTAACTACATCTTGAGATTCGATTTAAGGTTATATTTTTCAATTGTAACGGTAATTAAGCGTCGAATGCTGTAATTGACCAGGTGTTAAGGAACGCCTCAAGTTTTCAGTCTGTGACCTTTGGTCGTGTCACGTCTTCAAAGAGCCTACGTCTTCAAATCAGTTGTGCAGTAAGTAAACATTTTGTCTGAAGCTAAAATTTAAATCATATGAGAAATGCGATAAGTTGATTGTAGTAACGTGTGAGTGTACCTACAGGCGAAAGCAGAGACAGTGCAGAAAGTGAGTGACATTGTAAAAGAACAATTGGCTTTGTCCGCTGACACTCCGCTCACTTCCGAATCCAAGTTCTCTGCTCTTGGTGCCGATTCTCTCGACACCGTATGTTACACACTCTCTGTTTCATATCACTGTCATGTTATATTTCCTCTGTTTCATACTGATGTCATGTTTAAGAATTAAGCCATCTTTTCCCGTTTAAAGTAATGTCATTACATTTTCAATGCATTTCTGTTCTGATTGGTTAATACTGTGTTATAAGTTAATAGTTAGTCGTTAATATAGTTGAATGAATATGGATGCAGGTGGAGATAGTGATGGCGTTGGAGGAAAAGTTTAACATTAGTGTGGAGGAATCTGATGCTCAAAACATTACGACGATCCAAGAGGCTGCTGATTTGATAGAGGAACTTGTTCAGAAGAAACCCGCTGCGGAAACTTCCTGAACCGGCTATCTTTTTTGTATCTGACCTATTCTTGGCTTCAGAGCGTTGTATTACGGTATATTAGACGGTTTGTTGTTTTTTTTTTTTTTTTTTAAATTTTGAGAGCTAAGATTGGATGTTGACGATGAGACAACTTTGGTACGTTGAGATTGATTCTTTGTGGTGATTGGTCTTGTGAAGAATTTATAAATGTGTTTTGTTTCAGTACCACCTGAATTGGTCTTTACTATATTTTGAGTTATGACATCGTTTTGTTAGTCGTGGTTAGGTTAACTACCCTCAAAGAATGAAAACGAGAGTTGATTTCCGGTAACTACTTTGGAATTGGGTAGTATCGGGTAGGGTAAAGCAGATATCTAGTGTCTACTCAAATAGAGCGGGTGTAAAAACACTACGGGGGTGTATTCAATAAAGGATTTGAAATGATTTGTATTAAAAAGATAAATCTTATGTTATTCAAACATGAATTTTAAAAATCTTTTTAAAATCAAGTGTTATTGGATTAGTGATTTTAAAATCTACAATCAAATCCACTGTTATTGGAAACATTTTAAGTTGTGGATTTGAAATGACTTGAGTGATTTTTGGTGGGATTTCAGAGAACATCTTAGTTAAAAATTCAAATATCTAAATCCCATGGTTTAGGTGGGATTTGAGAGAGTTTTGATATCAAATTCCCTAATTCACCAAAATTCACCAAAATCATCTCAAAACTCATTAAAAACTCAAATCACTCCAAATTCTTTCTTCAATACACCCCCCTACCTAAAAAATATGAATTTAGTTTGACTTGGATAGGTTTTTTTGGACAGTGTTATTTGGATTCTCGAATTTTTTTGCGGTAATATCAAAAATAGTGATTATAAGGATATCTTCAAAACTTTTGAGTAATTGATTTTTCTTTTATTTCTGAAATGAATGTACTTATGTACTTAATTAACCTAACTTAAACTTTATATGAATGAAATAAAATGACAAAGATTCTAAGTCTTTATTTTTTTTCTGATTAAGTAACCCCATCTATTCTTAAATTGCAAAATCTTTATCCTAATCGCAAGCACTGCAATTGCATAGATGATGGTAGTGTAGACAATCTTCTAGCCGCTTCCAAGTTGCAAAGTTGCCACATCTTAGTAGATATTGTAGACGATTCGTACAATCACTACATATCCCACACTGAGATGATACCACCTCCAATATTTTTATATTTATGGTCTTTGCTCACTTTTGCTTTGAGTACAAATATATTCACTCTATAACAAATAATCCTCCGATTATATTACCCAAATAACCGGTGGTTTGACAAACTATGTGTACGTAGAACCACAAAAATCTAAGATTTGAAGTTTTCATGTATCTTGCAACCACACATGTAATATGCATGACAATTTCTCAATTCATTGTGTTAACAAATCTTGCTTGACATTCATCACCTCATCAACATACTCAAGAGGATATTCGTAATTCCTTTTATTTTGTCTCTCGGCGGATACGATTAAAATTTATTAAAAATATTGTCTTCATTGAAATTGTTTGTATAGATATAAAATTTAATGACAATTTCGTAATCGTTGATTGAGAATCACAAAATTTATACAAAGCACTGTCATGAATCTCAACCAATCATCATGAAAATATCATTCAAATCGATTAAATATAAAATAAATCATGTTAAATATGAAGAATAAAGAGAAGAGTTCATTACAATATTAATCACAAGCTTTAAGTGATCAATCCCTTACGGTAAACGAAAGAGAATATTCAGGTACTAGAAAATTTGGAAAACATAATACTCCCTCCGTGTTTGAATAGTTGTCGTTTTAGAGCTTTTTTTTTTTGTTTTAAATTAGTTGTCGTTTTAAAGTAATAATGTAATTTATGCCAATAACTACCCAAATTACTCTCATTTTATTGAACACAAATTATTTGTAAATAATTACTTGTCATTTTTATGAGGTTAATATAGTCATTGTATACTTTTTTTTAATTTGTCCAAATACAGTTAAAACGACAACTTTTCAAAAACAGAGGGAGTATATGTTAATATATATTTTCTTAATAATATGATTTGTACAAGAAGTGATCCTCGACGTGGTACATTCATAAATCTACGAAAAACCAACACTACTTCACACATAAATATTTTTCACTTAATTAATATGATAGATTTGGCAACAACAAAAATAATAACTGTATTTCAAAATTGAATCGATAACTAATTATATTTATTAATGTACCCAGTTTTTTTATTCGTGAATTAATAAAAGAGGTTAAAAAAATAAAAAAATAAAACAATTACTAGTGATTTTAAAATTGTACAAATGGGTTTAGTTGAGAGAAAAAAATTATTAAAGAAATGGGTCCCACGTTCTCTCAACTTCCTCTCCCGCCACGATTCGGTCCACGCGGATCTCTCGTTTACATCTTCTCCCTTCTTCCTCAGCAGCTCAATCAATCGAAAAGTCCTTCCCACCTTGTTGACTCCGTCGATGGCGAGGAGACCAGGAAGCTCGGCTTCTTCTTCACCCACGATGTCTCCGTCGCATATGATGAACAGTGGCGGAGGAGGAATCTCCGGCAAAAGCACTCTCCGGAAGCAAAACGCCGCCGAGCTGCTCGCAAAAGTCATGGAGAAGCGCGACTATGATTATGATTACGATGATGAAGACGGAGGCGAAGATCTCTACCAGGTACATCTTCCGCCTCTTACTCAGTCTCGAAGACGAGATGATAAGCGTATTGGTAAGGGTTCAGTCAACGAGAAAAAGGCTCCGGCGAAGAAACCGGTCATACTACCGCCGCCTAAATTTGACGATGAATCCGAAGATGATGAAATTAGAGCTGATGTTCCCCGGAATCCAGTGATAGTTCCTAAAAAGAATGCTAGGGATCCGATAAAAGCTCCGGCGACGAAGCCGGTCGTACTTCCGCCGCCTAAATTTGACGACGGTGATGAAATTATAGCCGATTTGCGCCGGATTCCAGTGGATATTTCTGGAAGGAATGCTAGGGGTCGGAAAGAAGCTCCCACGGTGAAACCAGTCGTTAATACGCCTAAATTTGACGATGAATACGACAGTGATGAAATTACAGCGGATGTTTCCCGGAATCCAGTGGAGATTAGGGTCCCGGTCAGAGGGAAAGTAGCTCCGGCGGTGAAACCCGTCGTTCTTCCGACTAGATTTGACGATGAATATGATAGTGATGAAATTACAGCCGAGGTGTCCCGGAATCCAGTGGGGAGTAAAGGTCCGGTCAGAGGGAAAGTAGCTCCGGCGGTGAAACCCGTCGTTCTTCCGACTAAATTTGACGATGAACTCGACAGTGACGAAATTGCGGCCGATGTGCCTCGGAAGCAAGTGGAGATTCCTCAAAAGAATGGAAAAGGTGCACTCAGGGTTAGAGTTCCGGCATATTCACGTCGGAATCCGTTGGATGAATTTGAGCAGAACGGAGAAGAAAAGCAAAATGTTCAGTTTGATGTGCCTGCAAAACAATCGGAAGCTCAATTAAAGTATAAGAAAAGGTAAAATTGGAGTTTTAATAAACAAATTTTTCTCAAGTCCTCAGCTTCTCTTGCATGTGTTGTGTTTGACGAAATTACTGGGAACGAACGATTAGTTTCAGGTTTCATACTGCAGATATTTTAGCATCTAATAACTCTAACCAGCAGGAAGATGATCGAGAAGCTTCAGCCCTGCGTGATGAAGTAGGTGGTTCCTAAAATACTAGAATACTATGTTGGTTAAATCATTGATCTCTCATTTGAAACCAACTCATTATCATTGCAGTTAGATATGCTTCAAGAAGAAAACGATAATATTATGGATAAAGTCAGTGTGGCCTCTCTCTCTATCTCTAATATAGTTCGTTATTTTTTTTTTCTACTTGATGTGTATATTCTTTGAGTTACATATGCAGCTTCAGCGCGCTGAAGAAAGACGCGAAGCTGCAGAAACAAGGGCTAAAGAGCTCGAGAAACAGGTGTTTATGATATCCTGTATAGTTTACTTTTGTAGACATGTATGCTTATTTACAATGTTGATGGTTACTTTTAAGCTTGGTATGCCTTGCAACAGATTGCTTCTCTAGGTGAAGGAGCAAATTTTGATGTCAAGCTCTTGAAGAGGTTTGCTTTTCTTGACTTTATTATAGCCGTCATTCACAATATAGGGTTTTTACGAACTTTGCACTGATCCCTCCAGGAAAGAAGCAGCACTGCGTCAAAGAGAGGTCCGTAGTGCATTCATATCTAATGGATGTTGTTGCATTTGTTCTTTGCACTATACATGTCCTTTATTTTTCTGCTAGCTTGTGTTGGCGTTTCCTTTGACAGTAAAGTTATTGAAAAGGAGATATATCAATCTATTTGCAGGCAGCATTAAGGGCTGCTGAACAGAAAAGAGATGGGATAAATAGAGAAAGTAATGCACTTAGTTCAGAATTTCAGGTACAATGCTCTGGTAAACCACTGGTAGTCTACTCAAACTGGTACTAAACAGTAAAGTGTGCTCTAGACTTTATTATATAAACCTTTTAACTTGACAAGGGAACAATCATCTCTTCTTTGTTGTGTTATGGTCAGAGTTTGAAAGATGAAGCAGAGAAAGCCATGGAACAGCTCCAGGAGGTTGAAGCTGAAACAAAGTCTCTTCGGACAATGATACATAGAACGATTTTGACTCAAGAAGAAATGGTTCGTTCACAAACTAAACTAGAATTTTCCCAGCTTCTTTATTTGATTTAATCATATGATTGACCAATCTTGCAGGAGGAAGTTGTTCTTAAGAGATGCAGGCTTGCTCGCTACTGGGAACTAGCTGTTCAACATGGTAAGAAATAAGAAAATTTCTCTCTTCCTAAAGATACAATCGTTCCTTTCTTTGGTAGGTATTGATTGATAAGATGAAGTAACCTGTTTGTCTTAATCTCTTGTTAAGAGTTCAAAGGGTTTTGAAGACTTCACAAATTGGTCCTGATAAGATTTAAACATGATTAGAGCATACGTGTTCCATTCGCTTAATGTACTTGTCTACTAGATTGTATACTGACAGGGAGAACAGCTATCAGGTCCTAAATAGCTGATCAATAATCTCACGGTAGACTCAAATAGTGGGTTGATCAACAATATTACTTGCAACCCTTATTTGGAAATATTTACTTATGTACACCTCGTTGGGTCACTCTTAGGAATATGTGAAGATATAGCCACATCAAGATATGAACATTGGTCAGCTTTAGCTCCTCTTCCCTCTGAAGTTGTCCTTTCCGCTGCCCAAAAGTCTGAAGACTCCTGGCAGACAGGTTTGATCTTCAACTATCCTGCCAATATTTCCCACAAAGCATTTAATTTTAGGATATAATAGTAATTGATAAAATCACATCTCGCAGGTGGTAGCGATCGCACTTGGAGCAAAGTCGTCAGTAATTTCAGTGATCTGAATGGAGAAGGAAACATTGAGAGTATGCTTGCTGTTGAAACGGGATTACGAGAGATAGCATCCTTGAAGGTTTATGCACACATTTTCATCCCTGAATGTGATTTAGTACTGAAAAATCTGTTTCCCAGAAAATACACATCTCATGCATATCATTTTCTGGGCCTCATAGGTTGAGGATGCTGTAATGCTAGCACTTGCCCGGTATAGACAAACAAATGTGGCCCGACAAGCCATCACTGGTAAATTATATCTAAAAAAAATGACTGGCACATAAAAATACTGATGTGATGTTATACAACAGACACTCATGTCATCTTAATATCCAGATCCCAGGGTGCAAGGGGAACCTAAGTTCTCTGAAACATTTGGTGAGTCACATCCTTAAACTGTTTTCGTTACTATCTAGAGAGAGTATCATATAAGTAAACAAGCCTCTCAACAAAACCTGTTTTCTGGTGGTTCTTCATCTATATTGTATTTGAGTCTTATGGTGAAACAGGAAGGGATTATTAACGAATGTTTCCTCTGAATTTTGAATGCAGAGTTGAGTCATGATGAGCAACAAGATATTCTCTTTAAAGAGGTAAGTTACATCTTTACCGGGAGAGTTTAGCTTTTAGTTAGCAGGATCATATTCATTTACCCAAAAACATATATACATGTGTCTAGGCATGGCTGCTGTATTTCTGGAAAAGAGCTAAAATTCATGGCGTGGAAAGTGATATAGCGGAAGAGCGTCTTCAGTTCTGGATCAACCGACTCGGGCAACATTCATCTTCACATGATGCAGTTGATGGTATATTTATCACATTGAAGCTAAATCAGTTAAAGACTTAAAGTAAAGAATCTGATTCTTTTTTTTTTGTGTGTGTGTGTGTGTTTGTTGGGGCAGTGGAAAGAGGAATGAGGGAGCTAAGGAAGCTTGGAATAGAACAACAATTGTGGGAAACATCTCGTAAAGAACTCATCGACTCCTCTTTTCTTCCTTCTTATTCCGTTTCTGACTACAATGACGAGTAACCACCTCTAATGTCTTCTTTGCCTCCAATTTCCTACATTCACTACACACGCTCACATAAACGCATATACACACATACACACACATAAAGGTTATCAAAATCATATTTTACTGTTCGACAAAGGTTAGAACAAACAGAGAAGTGTTCAGATTGTGTTCTTATTATTGTGGATAGTTTTTGCTTCCATATTGTTTACTTGTATAACACTCTTCATGACCTTACCCAATACAAGTTTTTTGAGAACAAAAAGCTGAATTTCATATAGTGAGGGGCAAAACTCTAACTTTCATATAGTTAGGGGCAAAACTCTAAAATTTATTGTAAAAAAGGTCGAAACGTTAAAATATGGGAAATGATAAAGAAACGGGTCTGTGACATACTCCGCATGACGGTGGGTCCCACGGAAATCGAAATGTGGATCGTCTCCTTCCCTATCTTATCCAGGATAACGATAACAACACACTCTCTCTCTCTCTCTCTCACTGCAAGAGCGCGAAACAGAGTAAGGCACACTTTGTTTTGCTTTCTCCTCTACTTCGATAATGCCGTTTGCTCCTTCCTTGTTGTCATCGTCTTCCTCAGTCTCTCAATTTCTTCCCAGATTCCCCAACGCCACTAGGTTCAATGTAACTCCCCGGAGCAGAGTCGCCACCGTCGTCTCGGCATCCGTCACCGACTTAGCCGGCGTAGACAGTACAACAATCGCCGTACTCGGTGGCGGATCCGTTGCAGCACTCGCGGCGATGGTTTCCTTGACGGATCCGGAGAGGAGGCGGAAATTGCAGGCGGAGGAAGTTGGAGGAGGCGACAAGGAGGTGGTGAGGGAGTATTTCAACAGTACCGGTTTCGAGAGGTGGAGGAAGATCTACGGTGATACTGATGAAGTGAATCGTGTACAGAAAGATATTCGTCTTGGTCATGCTAAGACGGTGGAGAACACGATGCTTATGCTCACGGAAGATAGATCTTTGGCCGGCGTCACAGTCTGCGACGCCGGTTGCGGAACCGGTTTGCTCTCGATTCCACTTGCTAAGGAAGGAGCAATCGTCTCTGCTTCCGATATCTCTGCTGCTATGGTTACCGAAGCTGAGATGAAGGTTAGCTTCTTCGATTCAATTTTGATTGTTGGTCAAATTTCAAAATGCAACTTTGATTTCATAATATATAATTCCCAATTTCAATCCTGAGCTAAGTTCCTCTGCCTGTTGCTAGTATAGGTTCTTCTCTTGGCAAGCTAGGTTGACAATTTTAATATCAAAATGCAGAATCTAGATGCTCGATGATAAGACGTTTTGAGTTTTGACATAGAGTTGTTAAGGAACTGTATTCTCGAATCTGAATCCTTGTGCTTGTTTTGAATAATGCATAGGCAAAGTCACAACTACCACCAGAGAATTTACCAAGATTTGAGGTGAATGATTTGGAGAGCCTAAGTGGGAAGTACGATACAGTTGTATGCCTAGACGTGCTGATACATTACCCGCAGAACAAAGCTGACGGAATGATTGCACATCTCGCTTCTTTAGCAGAGAAGAGAGTGATTCTGAGTTTTGCTCCAAAGACTTTTTACTATGATATCTTAAAGAGAATTGGAGAGCTTTTCCCAGGGCCATCAAAGGCTACACGGGCTTATCTACACTCGGAGGCGGATGTGGAAAGAGCATTGCGTAAGGTCGGCTGGAAAATCAGCAAGAGAGGACTCACTACCACACAGTTTTACTTCTCTAGGCTCATTGAAGCTGTTCCAATGTAGACCCATTTTAAAACTAGGTCAGTTTTGGAAAACTCTTCATTTATCATTCTTTAACTCGTTCTGGTGTCACTAAGGAAGGAACTGTATATGGTGTCATTGTCAATGAATTGAGAGCCGAATGCATGCATGTACCCAATGTCCAAAATCATTATATCATCATTATACTAGATCTTGGGATCAAGAATAGGTTATAAAGTGCTTTCAAGAGAATTGACAGTGATGAGGAAGAATGGCGAGTAACGTCTTTTTACTCCCTTCTCCTAGATATGTAGATCCTTCCTCTTGATGTGAATCTCAACTTTAGATCTCACGAGTTTATTAGAATCTATGCTCCTTCATATTTTTCTTTTGATATGCAGAATTCCAATTTGATAATACATGTGAGGATGATTAGCTTTCCTTTTGGGACTTTTGCAGTAGATCTCTCTCTGTATAGCATATTAATTCGAAGTAGGATTTTCGTTGAAGACATGCAGATTTCCTAAACTCGCCGGATACACTGCTAGGTGGACGGTCTGTACAAACTTGCACTTCTGCAGACCCCAATTGATAATTGACCAAAATGTGTAATGTAATCAATGTAATATATAACGACAGCATCTGGCGATGAAAAAATGTACGATACAATGTGAGGATGGTTAGCTTTCCTTTTGGGACTTTTGCAGTAGATCTCTCTCTGTATAGCATATTAATTCGAAGTAGGATTTTCGTTGAAGACATGCAGATTTCCTAAACTCGCCGGATACACTGCTAGGTGGACGGTCTGTACAAACTTGCACTTCTGCAGACCCCAATTGATAATTGACCAAAATGTGTAATGTAATCAATGTAATATATAACGACAGCATCTGGCGATGAAAAAATGTACTCTCTTTCTCTATATCGAAAAAACATGCCTACACTTTTCTACCCATTCTTGTGCATAGTTTAAAAATAAAAAGGAAATTGAATTAAAATGACAAAATGAGTCTTGCTGAGCAAGAAAAAATAAAAGGATAGATATCAAACATGGTTTCGAATATTGGATACATGCAATTCAAACAAAACAAAAGCGCTTAAAACACATATTTCACATAATCATCACAACCCACGTTTTATTTAGGAAACAAAACAACACCAAAATTTAATTTTCAAAACACAAACGTAACACACTTACTCCACAAATTTCAATAATTTGTTGGCCAGCATACTCTATCAGCATTAATGTGGGTGTAAGCTTCACTGTCTTTAGAAGTTCTCTTTGTGGAAAGAGAATCTAGTACTTGTCTTGTGTGTGAATTCCAAAGCTAGATGCCTTAACTCCTTCGTCAATACCGGTGCTCCACAATAGAACACTCCTGCACGTTATGTATACATTTTCAGTTTATATCATTTCTTTATAGTCATTAAATAGATTATAAGATGATTTTAAAAACAAAATATCAAATCATATTCTACACCTTTGTTACTATAACCTGTATGTAAAAATTATGAAACTAAGCTAATTTTGTTTTGTATGAACTGACTGTGATAGTGCAATATGAAGATCATAATATCATGCAAGTTGATGCAAGCATGCCTATAACAAAGCATCACAATTAATAAGGGTTTGTACTTGATATAATATTACTTTTTGACAACCAAACCAAAACACAACAACCATACGCTTACTGGTTGATTTGACGAGGGAGATAACGAGCTTACCAACATTAGCACCAGGGTGATCCATGGCAATCTGTTTGTAAACATTTTTCCAATTAGGTCTGGCGAAATGGGACATGACCCTTGTCCCAGCAACAATGTCTAAACCATTCTTGGCATAATTTAGAGACTGAAGCATCCGTATGAGTGCGGAACGAACGTCTCCTTCTTCGTAGACACTAGTGCAATGATTGTGTAGTTCTATGACTTTGCTTTTGTCTCGTTCTGCAATCTCGTTCATGACGTTCTTGAACCAATCAAATGTACCCTGCTCCTTTGTTACCCAGTAGAAGTAAGCCCTTCGCGTCTTGAAAGTTTCTTTCTTAACTTGTTGCTCCTGTGGAGCCCCCTTCTCCATTTGGCTGAGCTGCTCCTTGGTCTCCGTATTGTTGATAATGTCCTTGATAATGCTGATCATCGGGGTGGCTCCAATGCCAAGACCGATCAGCAGAACCACCTCGTACTTCTTGTAGTCTTGAGCTGGTGCGCCGTACGGACCATCAATCATAATTTTGGGAAAACTGCGGAAGAAGAGGTCATTGCCATTTCAAAATTATTAGAAAATCTTAGGTAGATTAATTTTCCAACAACAAAGAATGTGTACGCACACACACATATGTGATATGTTGATATGCAATTTCCCCTATATCCACACATGTTTTTTTGATGTATGAAATACATATATGTGAATGTATGTGTATGAGTAATAGATGGAATATATGGCATAGGTAAAGTTGTTATATATAATTTTAAGACTCAGACACGAAATGAAAACTTAAAACGCAATGAAAATATATCCTCATGCATCTGAAGTTTTCATCTACCAAATGATTTTTTAAAAATTAAATATCATTCATATCTCTACATTTAATATTATTTACAGAATGTGATATTATAAATATCCATATTATAGTAGTAGTGGTTGTAAATGACGTCTACTTTTACATATATATTAAGAAAAGCCAGACTGGCCGGCTGATCTTCGGAATCCAAGACTTTGCGGACAAAAACATAGCTTAACAAAGAGAACCAGTGAGAACATGATTATTTAATCAAATGATGTTTCCTAGTCGTCTAAATGACGACCAAGAATAGGTAGGTGTTATTCTACATATTTATATAATGACCTTGAAAGATGCATTCTGCTTTCTTTCTTTTTTAACTAATGTAATATCACATTAGCTAATTTAGGTGTTGATGGCTCGTTTTGATATTGATTTTTTTTAGTTTGCGTGTATGACTAGCTATATCTTTATGGGATTCAGTTATAGATGTTTTTCTCACTCATGTTCATACTTCATAGTGTGATTTTTTAATTGTATATAGTTGAATACACATATAAATGGTTTTCGTTTTTCAACAACATGCATTTTTTTTAATAATTCATATATAGCATTGCGGTTATTATTTGTATATTGTGTTTTATAAAGACAAGTAAAACGTGATATTTTCTTACCACAAATCAAATGTCACTCATTTACGTATGCGATGACTATACTTACCCGGGACTATTTGCACCATGCAACATGTCTCCGACCGGAGGTGGCTTAGACACCTGAAATATAACACAAGATGCTTCTCAAACTATATATCTTTCATCGACTCCAAGACTTACCAAAGATATAATTTCGTAAGCTAAGATTTAGAAGTAAATAATATATATATACCTCGGAGAAAACTCCTTGGATAGCCTCTGTCCAATCTCCCAGTGATTTTATATGAACGCTCAGATAGTCTTCTTGTGGTGTTGAAGTTATTGAAAATGGATGCCTGGAGAGATATGTATACAATCACATGCATTGATATTGAAATGGGTTTAGAGTTGTTACTCTTTTAAGTTTGTTTTTGGCGTACCACTCAAACGGTGAGACTGCTGGACAATTTACAAACATGTATTGACCGCTCTTGTATTTGAAGTTTGTAGGCTTTGACATTTGCAAAGTCAACACTTTTCCAGGGTAAGCCGCGACCTTAAGAACTTTTACAGTCCTGATGCTGGACCTGAATGCTCGTATCAATCTCTCGTATGCATAGAGAGCTACTGGTACTGCCAAGTACATCCACGTCTACAAACAAAACCCCCCGACTTAGTACCATTTTTCAAAGATACAAAAATGTTGGACATTGATCAAATACTCACCGTTTTCTTGTACCATTCCTTACTGAGGTACAAGTAGTATCCGTGAAGGACAAGTAGAATGTAGACTATAACAAACAAATGGTGAGTGTACCAGAAGGCGTTGAAGCTCGCGAGTTTCTTTAGTGGCCCTGGAAGCTTTTTTTCTAGCTTCCCTCGTCTAAACCAAGGCATAGCCAGTGTAAAAGCAATAACCATCAAGAGGACCATTACAAGCCCTGTTATTCCTTCTGTTGACTTCACAAAATGCAAGTACCTCTTTGGTTGCTCCTCCCCGAAGAATTTCTCGAGAGGCATGTATTGCGCTGGAGTTGCTGCGATTAGCCGTGGAAAATCACATGCCAAGTGGGCCACCGAGTGTATGCCTACTCCTATCGTAATTCCCACCGCTATAACCTGTAGGTTGAGGCATGAAGTTACTATAAATGATATAACGGTGTTCTTTTATAACTAGGTTATTAATTTTAGAAGCATGTAAGAACTATGTTTTTTTCTTCATTTATAACGTCTATATTGACCTACATAAAAGTGTGATAGATGATTTGATCCATATCCTCGAGCGATAGGACGATTCCTCAACCATAATTGTTAAAAATAGCAAGAAAAATGTGTGGTTTTACCTTATGAAAATTGAGGTTGTCATCAAAAGGGACAAAAACACCCAACCAGCTAGTCTTATTTCTAAGCCATGTGATGGTATTTCTGCATACAGGTAACAGAATTAAGGCCATGTTTAGCTTCAACGTCTCTGCTGCACCTTTAGCCAAGCACACACAAGGCCCCAAGACTTCATACACTGCTCTATTCTTGTATTGAATATATTTGTACGCGAAGAGGATGGCCATAATCGCGAGCCATAACGCTATCACCCAAATTCTTTGCCAGCTATCCAGTACGAAGAATCTTAGTTGACGGTACCATCTCCTCAAATGGTTAGGGTCACGCGTAGGCTTAAGACTCTCACTTAGCATATCGCTCAGCTCCTTTCTTTCTTCACTATTAGTTGTGCTTAAAGATTTTGTTTCCGCTTGCAGAAGCAATTTCTTAAGACTCTCCATCTGTTTTAAATTCACCACAAAAGTTACTAATAGAAGCAATATTAAAAAGAAAATATCGGTTTTCAGACCATCATCAAGTTAGTTTACCATGATGTATCCCATATGATCAGGGTCAAGCTCTTCCATTATCATTGCTGCATATTCATCTGCCTTTTTCTGGATGCATGACAGATGGTTGGCAGACGAACTAAGATTGATGATCTGCGAAACCCAAAAATACAGAGCACAGTTCAAAAAATCTTCCACCCATTAAACATTTCTAAGATTTTCAAAGAAAATAATTAAAATATGTATATTGATTGTTTGTTTGCATTTCTTTTTTCTAAATGAACTTGCAAAATTTTGTCGCTGTAAAATTTACACACAAAAATAGTGACAGTGAAATTTTTTTGCATGTAAATGCAGAAATCAACATTTGAAACAATCAAGACCTCATTGGTAAATAGTTTTACCTCTCTAACTTCATCTTCGGTTAGTCTACCATCGGCGTCTTTATCCATCCTGCATTTGAAACAAACCCCTTTGGCTCAAACTTTACATTCATTTTACCAAAACGTTTAGAGATCCAGAGAAATAAAACGAAAGAACAAATGTGTAATAACTAAAAAAAATTACAAGTCAAAGAACGTGATAAGCCTGGAATCAAAGCTTTTATCATTTATTTGTTCCCAAAATTTCTTCAACTCGGTCTCAGTAATCACATCCCCTTTCAGGTGACTTTTTCTAGCTAATGCGTCGAACAATTCCAAGGCAAATTCTTTTGAGTTCATCCCTGCAAAATGTCATCGATATTCCAATTTAGATCCAAATCATATATTTGTCACAATTCCTCGAATTTACAAAATCTTACCTATGCATTCACCGAATTTTGACCGAAGCAGCAATCCATCAGTATTGGCCGTGATCTTCAAGTACCGCTTCTCCACGACCGTCCAGGCAGCGTTGCCGTCGGTCTTACTAATGAGCTTGAGCCCTTTCAAGGCCTGACCGGCCGTTGACTTCGACCGGTCCAATCGAGGTGTCTTACTCTCTCTAGTGACCAATGTCAAACACTTCATGAGCTGGTTAGAAACTGAGGCGAGCAACTTCACCAGACCGTTCTGTTTCTGCGCATTCAGTTTCGGATTGTTCTTCACGCTCGGTCCATCATCCGCCGCGTTTCCAACGTTTTCCATCGCCGGATTTTTGAAGGTCGACGGCAAAGCTCCGGCTCCGCTCAGTGGAACTGTCTCGCTGCTGCTCTTCTCCGCCTCTGTATCCGTCACTTCAAAGCTAACTCTCTGCATTGATTCGTCCCTTTTTAACGGAAAATCTCAACGGAAACGGGAGCAAGGAAAATGATATGATTAAACGAAATAATTTGTTTCTTGCATCTCAAGTCAATGCTCTGGAGGATTTAGAAGCAAAAACATTTTAGTTCATAACTCCTTCAATCTTTTTATCTCTCCGAAACTCTTTGGGATGAGACGACCTGAAATATACGGAGTCATTCTTTTTATACACAATCAACAACATTTTAGATAACGCCTACGTGTAGAAACATTTTTTTTTTCCTTTTCTTTTTGTGCACCAACATGTAGAAGCATAAAGCTAAACAAATTTTCCACCAAAAAAAATAAAGCTAAACAAATTTATTGAAAAAAAAAAAAGAAAAAAGGTAAACAAATTCAAAGAAATAAGGCCTACTTGGGCCCACAAAATTTGGTTTGCTTTTTTGGTCAACTCCTCTTCATTGGTTGGTTAAATTAAAGACTCGGATACCAAACCTCTTCGACTTCAAACATGATTGTCCATCTTATAATATAAATTTCATATAATTGAATAAACCACCAACGTCCAAATGTCCAAAAAATATCAGTTTTCAAATAATTTGAAAAAGGGGTTTCTACTTTCTTGTCTTGATCTTGAAATATTGTTTCCATTATACTTACCATATTCTTAACACCTTCATTTTAGTTTGTCTTCCACCGTCACAGAATTGGTTTATCAAAATGATCTATTATTATATCAAATAAGTTTTATTTTTTCTCCGCAGCGCCAGCAATGCAAAGATATGTCTCGTATAGTGTATAGTGGTGGGTATCTTATGACCTGTGTTTTTAAAGATACGATAATGAAATGTAGTTCTTTTAATTGGACTTTTACGTTTTCACAACTATAACTTCTAATAGAATAATGGCCGTGACTAAATAAATATGAAGAGTAGATGGTAGGTAGGCACGTTCGAGTTCATAAGACGCAGAATCATGCTTTTTCATAAGGAAAACAGGTGAAAAAACTTAACACACACACACACACACAAAAGAAAAACCACAGAAAGAGCATGGTAATTGTTCATGACACAGGTAGTCAGGTAGAAGACCTAGATCAAGGACTCTGTGACACAGAACAAGAGAGCTGTGTCCTTATTACAACGACCAATACTTTATTTAAAAAAAAAAAACTCCAGTAAGTGCAGAACTCACTGAAGTCAAATTGTTCAGAACTCTGCTTAAGAAGAAGAGGAAGAAGCAGCCTTTGCGGCCTCAAGTCTGGCACTCACAGCTTCCCAAGACACAAGATTGGTCATGAATGTCTTTATGTAATCTGGTCTTCGGTTCTGCTCATATACAAATAGATTACAACAATCAACAAAACAAATAAACTGAAATAAACCGTTTTGTTAACAATTATGAATAAGCTGTTACCTGGAAGTCAAGGTAGTAAGCATGCTGTTCCATTTACCAAAAGAAAACAAAAATTATCAATCAACTTGTAAGAAAGAAAAGCACTGGATTTGGTATAAAAGTGTGTATTTACCTCCCAGACATCGATGGTAAGCAAGGGCTGCATGAAAAACAGACCAATATTAAATTTTCAGGATTTGCATTAATTGTACGGCAATCTCTAGTCAAGTAAATTGTGTATTCAAGTTCTTTCATGAAAACTTACGAAAGAGCCAAGCACAAGGGGATTCACAGCATTTGGAGTTTTCACTACTTTGAGTTTATCATTTGCATCTGAAAGCAGAGAGATGAGAGTAAGGAAGAAGTTAAAATATCTATGTTAGGCTTTTAAATCTGAAACACTTACAAGCAAGCCAGGCCCAGCCAGCTCCAAACTGAGTGGCTGCAGCAGCATTGAACTCTTCATAGAACTTCTCATAAGAAGTGAAATCTCTTTCAAGCAAAGCAAGAAGCTCTCCTGATGGTTTTCCTCCACCACCGGGTTTCATTGATTCCCAGAAGAACTCGTGGTTCCACGCCTATTAACACAACCACTGGATCATCATCAGCTCAAACAATCACGCACCCATTTAAAAAGCTCAAACTAAAAACGGGTTTGTTATCACCTGGGCAGCGTTGTTGAAAGCAGGGAGGAGTTCGCCATTGTTGTAAGTGCTGTGGATAATGTGCTCTAAGGGCTTGCCTTCAAGCTCGGTTCCAAGAACCTGTTTCTTGAGGTTTTCCACGTAAGCCCTGTGATGCTTTCCCCAGTGAAACTCCAGAGTTTGTTTGCTCATATGCGGCTCCAAAGCATCCTTTCCAATTTTATAACAAAAACATTTCAACATATTGCTCTCACTTAACCAATAGGTCCACTAGAAGGAACACAAATATGAGACCAAGGAACGTCTGAATTTGAACTAGGAATGGTCATAAATTTATATAAAAATTTATATATCTAACACTACACCACACTGCAGTTTTTTATTACAAACTACATAGTAATATGTTTTAGACAATTTAATAAAGTTTGAGTAACGGGTCGGACTGAGATAGTTTTGGAATATGGTTTCAAAATCAATTCAGATATGTTGTCCCATACCCAAATTTCCCACTAGAACATTCACGGCCTTTACCCGATATGGACCACCCTACTTGACTCCTTCCATTTCCCGAAAATCACTAATGCATAAATTTATTCGATTTTTATTTTCTTCCATTACGAAATTAGAAGAGTTCATTTGTAACGCCTTTTTGGTTCATTAGCTGATGATAATTCATTTGTGACGCCTTTGGCTAGGATTAAAATATATTTTAAGGGCTATGAGGGCGTAACAAGTTATAGCATCTAGTAATTCAAAAGCCAAATCTCTAATCCAACGAAAACAAAACGCCATTTGCCCGACAATTTCGATTTTTATTAAAAAGAAGAAAAAAAAAATCAAACCAGTGCGTATGGAGGTGGCTTGAGGACGTAGTTTGCGGTGACAGCACTTGAAGCAGCCATTCTTTTAAACTGAAGCTGCACATTTCAGACAAAACATAGCATTGATTATCAATGTGCCCAAAAAAATGAATCAATATCCTTACAGACACACATAAAAACGTATACATGCGTTTGTGTGATGTCGAAAGACCAAACAAATTAAAATGAAAGTTCTAGGTAATAGAGTAAGAGATCAGAGAAACTCGAACATAGTCTAAAAAAAAAAAAAAGTGGATGAGAGATGGAATCAGAACCTCTAGTTTCAAGGACAAGTGAGGAGAGCACACGCCAGTGGAATCTGTGTTTTGAGATTTATGGATGGCTCTGCTTTTTGGTAATCGAGTTGCGTCGTACATGTGGCAGTACGACGTATCATTTGTACTATCATTATCTTTTTGTAGTACATTTTTTTTTCTGGCTTCGTGGCTCCTATTGACTCATTGTGTCATGAAAAAAAAAAAAAAACTCTATTGAAAATTAAGAAATTAGTGACATTTGTTTTTTAAAATATATATTTTTGCATCTTCAAAAAAGTAAAAAAAATCAAAGCAAATATATACTGTAGTCTTATAATTTTATCTACTAAACAAAATATTAAAATTTCAAACTTTCTACACCATTCAAGTTAGACATATCTTATCCAATTTCTAAAATACTCTACAACTGCGATGAAGATAAATCTAAAATGTCTGAAATACTCTAAAACTGCGATGAAGATAAATCTAAATGAACATAATGGAAAAATATCATGCTACTTTCTTTTTTTTTGAAAATCTGAGGGATTGAGAAAAAACATTAAAATTATTAGGACATAGTGAAATATTTTTGTTGTTTTCATTAAGCCAAATCACCACCTACATCCGCGTGATAGAGGCTGAGATTGATGAATGGTGATGACGAGGGACGACGAGCTTACAAGTAAGTTCAAGCAAAGTCCGTTGAAAGCAGTAGAGTAACACAAAAATCTCGGTTTTGAGAGGGAAAATCGCACACCACACTTAGCCATGTATTTTTTCTTACATTTCTTGTAGTGTTGTTTGTCTGGTTTCATTAAAAAACTAAAGTTCCAATAATAATATTTATTTATCTTGATGGCAATTTTTAAAGATGATGTCTGTTTACCATTTGATAAAATTTCTCATAACTTTTATTTTCACTTAATGAAAAGGCCGATATAAACATATTATGATCATGCCCCATATATCTTCACTCCAAGCTCAATAAAGTTTTTTTGTTGGTAAACTCCATACTCATTCTTTTGTCCTCCTCTTAAGGTGATATTACAAAGAAAAGGGCTTCTCATATACATCAAATGCGCCGTTAGCGCTCAACTGTGGTTCCTGCCGAATCAAATCCAAGATATCAACATATCTTATCATCAATTCACATAATCTTGCTACAAAAATCATCCACTACTATGGAATATGTATACAAGTTACATTTATAATTTTATTTTACAGTTACACAAGTCTATTTTTTTTTTGTGACTTTAATTAGTATTTCCTTACACATTGTTCTAATCGATCAATATTATGAATTTTCTTTCTTTAAAATGTAAATAATTTGTTGCGCAATCTTCATCATTTAGGATCTCTAATATCTAAGGTAAAAATGGGAAATTTAATACTAATTTTTATGATGTATTGAAGATGTATGACCAATCACAACAAACTAAAATATGTTGGTCCATGAAGATCCTTCTAAGTTGGAGATATAGCCATATAACTATTCCATTATTATGAGTGAGGATCTAATTAATGATCATTCATGATAATTAAGTTTAGATCAAAATAATAAGTAGATGAATGGATCACCTGAGTTTTTTGAGGGGCTTGGTTTACTTCCTCTTCCTCATCAAGAGGAGAAGCGCCTAAGATGAGCAAACCAAGAAGAGTAGAGAGAAGATCAGCGCCTTCCACTTCCACAAGCTCTCTACCTTTGTTTTTGTCGAAAATCTCGTGAACCGTTGATCTCATTGCATTCAGTAAGCTCCCATAAGTCGTCCCGTGGCCACGTTCTATGGCCTGAATGAATGCATAAGTCATTGCCCCCGTCCATGCACTCCCTGACAATTGCTGTAGTGCACGCACGTTTCTTTGTGAGGACTTTAAAAAATGAAGGTATGTTTATACGTTTATATAGAGTAACTACTATAACATCTCGGTCAAAAGATAAAATATGGATGATTACGTTCAGTGGAATTGCTACATCAAAAGTTGTTTTAAATCTAGAGAGATTATATACGCCAACAGTTGGGAATGTACCGGAGTGTCAGCTGAGGTCTGGTCATCATCGCAGCCTGTGAAAGAGAAGACTTCACCGCCACTCGTACCTTTCCACATTCCTGATGGAGGCCGATGGTCCTCCCATTCATAGTTTCCGAGCCTAAAACAAAGGATCAAGAAGGTTAATGAGCTATACATGCATAAACACTTGCTTATTTTGTGCTAGTTCATGGTTTATAGGACTTATAAGTTATAACCAATATAAGAACGATATGATGATCTCCATTGTTTGTTATTTAACATTTACTTTTACATGCTATATATTATAACGTGTTTTCCTTCAAATATATAGAACTAAAATCTCTAATGTTTTTAATCATGATTTTGTAGAGTGGAAATGCAACACCAAGAAATAACCAACACAAACACATTAATTAAACAATCGAGGTCTGCATACACACGTACATAACAAGAATTATAGATATGGTACCTGTCCATTCTACAAAGATAAGGCAAGTCCATGACGGTACCACTATGACAAGCGTCGACGATGGCATGGAGCTTGACTCCATAAGGGAGCGGCCGTACGATTGTAGCATTGATCTCATCGTCCACGATGACACCTGAAGTCCTGTGGTCCACCGGGAGAAGAGTCTCGTCGAAGCCGTCAACCTCGTCGCCGTTGTAGTCCATCTGGTTGTTGCCGTGACCGGAGAAGTGAAAGACGAGGGAATCTCCCGGTTTGCAGCTTACAACTAGCCAATGCATCGCCATTGTTATGTTGTTCTTCGTTGGCCATCTCATTGGGTCCGTTTCTTCTTCTACAACATTTTGACACTTTTAACATTACATTTACGTGTTACACAAATTATGACATTTTATGATATAGAATAATACCGGTGAGCATAAGAATGCAAGATTCAGGGAATTGGAAACGCTTCATCAACATGAACTTCATGCACTTTGCGTCATTGATACATCCTTTGAGTTCGTCCTTTGTGTTCTTGTAAGAAACCCCCACGATCACCGCTCGCTTCTGTCCGTGTACGGGTGGTGGAGGACCCGGGGGCGCGTGGTTAAATGGAGACGGTGCTGACGGCGCGGGAGTGAACGGATAATGTTCTGGAGGCGCGTGGTTGAATGGAGACGGTGCAGGCGGCGCGTGAGTGAACGGAGACGGTGATGGCGGCGGGTAGATGAAAGCGGATGGTGCCGGAGTTACGGGAGATGAGTTTGGGAAAGGAAAAGGGCTGGCCGACGCGTGGGATTGGAGACGGGGCTCGGGAGCGATGAGAGTGAAGGCGTGACAAATGGCGCAGCGGATTCGGGTGGCTCCGGGAGGGAGGTGAAGCGGCGTACGACAGCTGGAGCAGTCCACCAGCAACAACATTCTTTTTCCTTTTTCCCAAAGGCCCTTTTATTTTCTCGAGATTGAAAGTTGCAGATTATAGCCTTTCGTTTCCGATGCTGGGAAAATCATCAATGATCAAGCATTGGAACTTTAGAAGAAGATGCCAATAAGGTCAAGAAGAAAATGCTGAGTAAGAGACGACTTTAGGCTTATGTATTCGTCAAGACTTTTTTTGATGATCAAACAAGTCGTCTCAACTGGCATATATACAATGTATACGACACAAATTAAATTAGCAAGTTGAGAATTATAATTCTTCCTTCTCTTCTCATTGCATATTTTTTTCCCATTGCAAAAGTTTGGATTTGATGGTGCCAAGGAACTGATTAGAATTTAGTTGACCTTGATTTTAATGAGTTTGTTTGACTTTTGTTATAATTAATTTTACCCACCATACTAGTCACTAGATTTTAACCCGCGGTACACCGCGGGGCTATATTTTTTTAAAAAAATCAAAATGTAATTTGTTTGATAGATTATTTTGATTGTTAATTTTAGGATTTCACCCGTGGTATACTATCTTTTATAAATATCAACCCAAACCCGTCCCATCATATTACCGTCCTGTGAAATTAAACATCATTTAGTTATTTTTCTTTTTAATAATACTTTTATTTAAAAGCTATATAATTCAAGTCAATTTAAAAATTTCTTTTAAATGGTTCCCATAAGATTTATATACATATATATTAAATTTGTATAGAGTTGAAATAATATTAATATTACAAACTTTTTATATAATTTAAATATTATAAATATTTTTAAAATATGCAATATATATTTTTTGTTATTGAATAAGAGGATATTATGTGTAAGAAATGTAGAAAATAAGAGTTTAATATTTTTATTATGGAGTCGCAAGAAAAATCTTTTATTTCTATACATGTTATTCGTTTATTAATAATAAAAGAAAACAAATCCTTTAAATTAGATATTAACTAAAATAAACGCACCATAATTACTTATTAAGTAACAACCAATAAATTTCACCAAAAAATAGGTAACAACCAATAAATTCTAAACGCAGTAATTAAAGAATGAGATATAAAAAAAAATATCAAATAAGATATAAAAATCTTAAAATAATTGAATATCTAAATAATTTAATTGTTAGTGTCGATTTTAATGCATTCATTAATGTGGATTTTTTTTTTTACAGAGAAATATTTCCTAAAGATTATCAATTAAGGAAGATATGAATTTATGATTCTCGAAATCGTGTTGGTAATATCTTTAATTAATATTTTTCAAATTTAAATAATTAATGCCAATGGCATTCATCTGTAAATACATTCCAACTCCAGGATTTATTTGCTAAAAGTCATCCAAAAATGTATATATAGATACGAAGCTGTTCTTATAAGACCATCGACATGGTAATATATGTACAAGACATGCGCTCATTAACTTCCAGATTTATCTAAATATGGAAATATTATGACTTTATTGGAAAAGTTTATAAGACTGTTTCTAGAAAAAAAAAAAACTCCATTCTTCAAAGCAAAGGGCCCATATGGGCCATAGGCCCAATAAGATTCTCTAAGGGGTTTCGTTGTCTCTAGGTTTTTACAGTCTGTCTGATTTCAATCATTTCGAAATTTCCCACACTTTCTCGACGAAGATCAAGGAAAGATGGAGAATCTCCCACCCAACAGAGGAATGTGGAATCAAGAGTACAGTCATGGTCGGATTTCTCAAAGCTTCAGGTCCACCAAGCCGCTCCTTGATCGGAAAAGGCCATTAGAGAACGCACCTAATTCCTCCGATCAGAGGTCCGTTGCTTTCTTCTTCGCAATTTATTCGAATTATTGGTTTCTTCTTAGCTTCTTTCAGCCATTGCCGTCAATTTTACAGGGTTTCTAGTAGCTGATTCTTGTCAAATTTCTGATATCATCGTATTAGGATTTGCCTTACTTTTAAGATTTGGTATTCGACAGTGATATTTAGCACTCCCTCAAAGTCAAGTTTCATAGCGAATTCGTGTCATTTCATTCTGAATCTAAACATCGACATTGCTTCATTAGATTTGATGTGAATCGCGGGATTTTCTGTTAACTGTGATCAATTTCTCTACCCGATGTTACAGGATGAAGGAATCATCAATGGGTACTGAATCCCTTCCTCCCCATACAAACTTCAATAGAACTCCTCTTATGGAGTTATCTACAAATACACCATACAAACGCCTAAAACCGGCGTTTGAGTCATATGCTGATGATTATCCTTGTGGCTTGACCACCCCTCCTCCTAGGTTTGATCTGGACAAGGAGATCATTAACGGATTTCAGACCGAGATTTCTGGGGACAGTGGATTTTCATCAGAAGCATTTGTTACTCCCTTGAAAGAGCCAGAAAGAGTTACACTAAGCTACGGTTGCTCTACTTCTTCTTCACTTCTTGATGATGACATTGATGATTCCATTTTAGAAGAGATTGACTTAATATATGAACAATCAGCGAGAAAAGCAGTATGTCAAACTCCAAGTACCAGCATAAATCAGACTCCGTCCAAAGATAATAAGAGCAGTGACCTCAAGGCCAGCTTAGATTTTAGGGATGTCAAAAAGTTTGAGCCAGATTCTAATGTCAAAGTGAAGCTCGATGAAGAGACTACCATTGCTGCTGATCCTGCACTTCTCAATTCCATGCCTGATGAGTGTTCCAAATATATCATGTCCTTAAATGATAGACAGCGTGATGCAGCTTGTAGTAATATTTCAACTCCTTTGATGGTTATTGCTGGTCCTGGAAGTGGAAAGGTTGGTATATGATAGACTTCTTTTTCTATGAGGCAAGATTTTTTGTGGGTTTTCTTGTTATACAGTCAGTACTGATTATTCCTTTTCCTATGTTAGACTTCCACCATGGTTGGCCGCGTCTTAGTGCTGCTCAATGAGGTACTATCATTTATCGTCGCTGAATAATGTAGAACATCTTCCGTACTTGAGATCTTATATATGAAATCAGATTTGAAGTTACCTCTACATTTTAAGTTTTGTGTTCTTTCTAACTTGATAGGGTCTACTTCCATCGAATATTCTTGCTATGACTTTCACTACAGCAGCAACTTCTGAGATGCGAGAACGCATAGGAAAATCTGCCGGAAAGAAAGCAGCGAAAGACATAACAATCAGTACATTCCATTCATTTTCCTTGCAACTTTGTCGGATGCATGCAGACAAGTGAGAATATGATTTGTTAATTTCTTGGTATTTTTGTGGTTAATCTCAAGTCTAAATGTAGGTAGAACCGTAGAAGACATGAAATGATTTTTCCTCACCACTGGAAAATGTAACTTTCTATGTTATCAAATTGAAGTTACAGTGCCAAACTGCCAATAAATGGAAGTAATACTTGAAAACAAGATTAGTTTATAAATTCTATACTCGTAGGTGATTTTACTTCTTTTTTTCTTACATGTGTCGCTTGAAGTTGTTAGTTGCATTTGCATATCACTTGTTGACATCTTTAAAGTTATAGATTCATGGGATTCATGTACCTTATACCTTTCCTACTTTCACAGGTTACAACGTACATCTGAGTTCTCAGTGTATGGGCATGGGCAACAAAGAAGAGCGATAATAGAAGCAGTGCGTTTATATGAGGAGGAAAAGAAGAATGGAAGCAAAACTTCTGTTGCATGCGAGTCTGGAGAAGATCTAAATAGTGCAGCAGCAGGAGCAGTATGTCCTGAATATGCCAAGGATCTATCAAAAAAATGGCAGAAATTTGTGACCCAGGTTGCCAATAAACAAAAAAATGATATAATTTGTGTACTTTATGGTCTATTAATAGCGCGTATATCCTGTCTTTCACATATAATCTGTCTCTTACAATTAGTTGTTTTTAACTTGTTTCCGCATTTTAGGGAAAAGCTTCCGGTAAAACTCCAGAGCAGTGCCGTAAGATGGGCAATGAGATAGGAGTAAGTCAGCTAAATTGTTTTTCAGGCATCTCTATTATTAATTAGTTCATATGATATGATTCTGTACTGGTGCTGATACAGGCTAAAATTCTTGGAAACTACAACGATATCCTAAAAGCTTGTGATGCTCTGGACTATCATGATTTGATCAGTTGTTCGGTCACACTCCTCTCTGACTTTCCTGAAGGTGAAGCCACTTAGATAAATTTTCTGGAAAATTAGATTTATGACACTTAAGATTTCCTTGTGTTCACATGTATTTGCTGCATTTGATTAAAGTATTCAAGGAATGCCAAGATACCTGGAAAGCCATCATAGTTGATGAATTCCAAGACACTAGCACAATGCAGTACAAGCTTTTACGAATGCTAGGCTCTCATAATCACATAACTATTGTTGGTGATGATGATCAGGTGCGTTTTTGTCAAACAAAACTTACATAATTTCACTTGAATATTCGAAGTAAGTATGATGCATCTTTTCTTGCAGTCCATCTTTGGTTTTAACGGGGCGGACAGTTCAGGATTTGATTCATTTCACCGAGATTTCCCAAACTACAAAGAGGTCTGGCTTTTCGAGGCTAACTCAAAGATTCTACCACATATGATTAATTAGCTTAAGGAACCAAAAGCTCTCATTGAATTGCGAATGCATAACATTTATCTTACTGCTTCTGATTCAGGTCAGGCTTATAAAAAACTATCGCTCCTCTCGCCATATTGTGGAAGCTGCCTCTTCTATCATAAAAAACAATACGAAGCGTTGCCAATCAAAAAGCATTTCGTCTGAAAACTCCCAGGGATCTAAGGCAAGTTAAACATTTCTCTATGAGAAATTGCATCATTTAATCACTTAAGGACTAACTTTTTCGTGTTTTGTCCAGTATAGATTACTGTTAAGGAATGCCATAATGAGGAAGCACAGTGTGCATATGTCATTGACAAAATATTTGAAATCACTAATGATGGCTCAACACCTTGTTGTTCCCATGGAGATATTGCTATTCTCTATAGGAGGCAGGTCAGTCCTTTTCTTTTCCTTAATGACATGCTGTTAGAATGTTTAAAATTTTAACACGTTTACTTATGTGTTGGTAAACCATGAATGTACTGATATTCAGGTGTCAGGTAAAGTGTTCCAAAATGCATTCCGCCAGAGAAAAATACCATTTAACGTTCATGGTGTTGCTTTCTACAGAAAAAAGGTAGATTGCCTCATAAATATCTTATTTGTTAAACTTGCATGATCACTATGTATCTCAATGATTGACATTGACAATTCCTCTGCATGGTTATCTTAGCTTTATTTGTTTCAGACAATAAGCTCCATCTACTAAACATAACAGCTATAAACTTTTTCCACGTTAGGTTGTCCAAATCATTTTGGCCATGCTGAAGACAACATATTCCGAATGTGATGATGCTTCTTATAGGCGAGTGTTCAAGGCATTACTTCCTTTTGAGAAAGAGGAAAAGAAAAGGGTTTGTACCTCATTTGGTCTCGTTTTCTTTCATTTGCATGACTATCTATGATTTACTGTTGCTTTCTCAGCTGAAGCTATGAGGACATAAGCTGTTTGTAATTAGTTTATTACCACCGTCTGCAGGTTATAGAACATATTGAAAAAATCTCCACTAGTAGGAAATGCAGCTTCATATCAGCGGCGAGTGATATCTTCAGTGCCAAGATTTCTGGTACCTTCAAGAGGTATTGCTTGATGAAATTCATTACGAAAGCAATATATAGATAATACTGCTTTAGTTAAATTCTGAATTGGGAACATCGTTTGCTTCTAGGTTTACTAACTAGGAGATATAGACAAATTTTCTCATATAAATTTGTCTGCTTTTATTTTCATGATCCATACTTGAGTGATACATATAGGTCGTTTTGCCATCCAGATCTAAGTGACATTGTGTGTATATGTATTTATATCTATGTGTATATACAGGTTCTAAGAATGGGATGCTGCACATTATATCCCCTCAGTCTTGTTATTTTTATTCATTTTTCCTGTTACGCTTCTTAAATTCGTTTGAATTAACTACAGGAGCCAGCTTACCCAGGGACGCAAAGTTTTGCAAACTCTTGACATGGTAGCAAAGCTGGTTGATAGGGTAAGATATTTGTTTTCTGGCCCTTGAAATACTATGAACGCAACTTAGCACTACGAATCCCTTACGTCATAACTATTTGCAGGAACAATCACTTTCAGCTGTAGTAACATGTGTGGCAAATATGATACCACAGGTAATTAGTTTTTCTGTCTTAAAAGATGGCATGCTTATAACTATTAACCTACACTGTCATCTCCGGAGTCATATATAGAAAAACCTTATGCTTGACTATCCAATCTCATTCTTGAAAGTCTGTAGATATCGTGATTATAGGCTTAAGGTACAACTTTCACTGAAAAATAGTTTATGAACACGTGACTTTGCTTTGAAGATTTACTGTGTCTTTCCTTACAAAGTCTTTCTGTAATATCATACCCATTTCTTTTCTTGATCACGCTTAACTTCTCATGTTGTTTCAAATTCTAGAAATACCTTCTTGAGCAACGAGCAGTTGTGGATAATGATGGAGGAAAACTGCTTAACGAAGACAACGATCTTAGATCTGTATGTGGTTTTTGCTCTTCAAAAACTTCGGATAATTTTTTCTTATTTTCGTATGTATGTTTAAAAAAATATTTGGGGGAATGATTTCCTGTTTTGCAGGTACTCCAGTACTTAATGGATGATGTAGCTGAGTTTATTTCTACTCATTGCACTACAACTGAAGAAGAAGTGGATGCAATCAAAGAAAAGAAAGGCTGCAATCAACTTAATTCATTTATCAACTATATCTCGGAGCGGGAAACTGAAAATTTTCGTTCAAGAAGACATGACAATGAAAATTCTGTCACTTTGACCACCATTCATCAGGTGTTTTTTCATCCACTCGAGCAGTCCACAATTTGTTATCCATTGGTGTTAGAATTAGCTTCTTCAGGTAGTAATGAAAACATTGGCTAATATCTCTTGTATGTCTTTATGCAGTCTAAAGGTTTGGAGTGGGACATAGTTTTCATAGTCAAGGTATATATCATCCTCTCTAGATTTCTTTGCCGAGTTGTTGGCAGTTATGGACCTAGCAAGATATGAAATACTTTTTTATAAAATCGTTGAAACAAAAAGTCCTTGGCCCAGTTTCAATCAAAGTTTTGGTAAACAGGCTAATGAAAATGAAATTCCCCTATTACATGAGTCTAACGGCAATGCATCAGAGAGTGGAACATCACTTGAGGTATTATCGCTTTTCCTTCTCATAAAGTCCCCACCTCTACGAACTCTACAAATATATAGATATTTAACCATGCATTGTTTGTTTAAATTGTAGGAGGAACGTCGCCTTTTGTATGTTGCTATGACTCGTGCTCGCAAGAAACTATTTTTTTTGTATGTGACAGTGGATTCAAACTGGCAGGTTAGTACTACACACATGGTTTATGAATTCGTCCTCTCAAACTTTGTCTCTGACTAATGATGTTCTTCCATCTAGGTGCTCCAACCCTCACGATTTCTTAAAGAGATTCCAGGCCATCTTCTACAGGTTCAGGTCTCAGTCTGTTTGCAACTTAATGCATGATAATGTGATAGCACTAACAACAACTCTCAATAATGTTTTGTAGGGAGACATGAGCGTAAATGATTGCAGAAAAGTTCCTGAAAATCTTCCAAACAAAACTGAGCAGAGCGTCTCCAGTTTTGAAACAGACAGAAAACATGAGGAAAGTAAACTAACGGACAATGATGTGATGAACATTCCAGTAGATGATACCTCCGAGGAGTCAATAGCATCATATGCACTCAATGGGAACAACTTCCTTAAGAGGTTACATGCTTACAACCAACAGAACAATCTAATTTGGCACTCTTTGGTCTGGTTCATCATTCAGAGGTCTAGAACTTTTATCCTCAACAGGTTTGATGTGGAGGTTAGATCAGTTGTCTCTCACTTATTTCACAACTGGGCTAAGAAACAAGCATTCCAGGAACCAAAGAGGCTGATTGACAAGGTGAGTATCACATACTCTGCAACATTTCTTCAACTAATGTAAGCGCCAGTCAATGTTCTTAGCTTACCTTTCATGTCAATGTTTTCGTACATGCAGGTAAGGTTTGTGATTGGTGAACGTTTGGCCATCAAGAAGAACAAACACAAGGTTGTATACTTCTCTAATTAGATGTGGTCTCGTCTATAGTTTTATTCACTATAAACAACTCCGACAGTAGTTTTCTTGTTTGGTTACTTATTATGAAGCTTAATGGTTAAAGCCTACTGAGTCATACAATGTTGAAATATGCTTTGGTGATTAACTGGATGCTGCACTATTTTGTTAGGATGTCTTACGAGCACTCAAATCATCATTGACTTCCGAGGAAGCGTTCCAATATGCAGAACATGTAAGCATTATTATCTGAAAGCCACTGTTACACACTAATGAGTTGATAAAAAGGAAAACTGAGATTGTGGTGCTCATATTCCTGTGTACTTTGGGGATATTAGGTACTTAGGTGGGAACAACTTCCTGCAGACACACGGGCTCATATAGTGCGCGAGAAACAGGTAATACATATCGCTGTTTTGTGAAAGCAAGAAGTTATAAGTTAACTCACTCCATAACCTTGAGGAAAAATTTCTGTTTCAGGAACATTTCCAAAAACTGAGAATTGAAAACTCAATGGGCACTTCGGAAGCAACGAGTAAACAGGTAAAAACTCAACAAGCCCACCATTTTGTCAACCGAAATTTAGAACATGATACATTTTTGTTTATGTTTTTTGAAATGGCAGATCGCATTTCTGCATAGTCTAGGATGCACAGTGGTCCCAACATCACGTCTCCATGCGTCACGTTTGATTGAACAGTACAAATCACTCTGATTGTGTAGATGTGTTTATATATGTAGTGTCAATACGTTCATATGTATCAAACAAAGGAGCCTGGAAATGATCTCGATTTCCTAATGGTAATTGTAAAAGTGAATTTTCTAGAATGAAATCCATGGTAACTGTTTTGGTGGTGACATGAACACTCAATGCTTCCAGGTGATGTTCCGACCATTAGCTTCTGAATTGCACAATCATCCATAACGTTTAATTGTTCAAACTTAAAATCAAAAGAAAACTCGAAACTGTTGAGGACTTCCCAAATTGTATGGACCAGTACTGTAGTACCAAACTCTTAATAAACCATCACACGATAAAATCCGAATATTGGCTATTATGATTCTGATTTGGATTCAGTGTGTCACAACTTATGGTTGTTTCTGAAACACAAATTTATAAGCAAGCATATGACGCATCATTACCAATGGTTACATAACAAAGACCAGACACAAATGTGATCTACAGATTATTGTATTTTTCATGAGACAACTCACTTCTTTTTATGTGCTTGAGGGAAGACCGACTTATTTTCTTAGCCGTAACATCGGATTGGATCCTTGCAACCTTTCTCAGCTGATTGTCTTAAACCCATGCGACCGCCTTTTGCCAGGTATTGCTGATGGTAATTTTCTGCTCTGTAGAATTTTGTCGCGGGAAGTATCTCTGTCACAATCTTCTTGTTCAATATCTTCTGCTGTTTCTCAACGGCTTCACGAGCTATGCGCTCTTGCTCGTCTGTGTAGTAGTATATGCCTGATCGATACTGAGTTCCCACATCGCCCCCCTACTTAAATCAACACATAAAAGTTAGTATGTGAAGAACCACAACAACACCACTAGATTCATCTTCAAGTGTATGTAGGTCTAGTAACATGAACAAGAACAGACTCAAGTACAAGATCGCATACAAAAATGGAAATGCAATGTCACTTCCACATAATCAAACATGAAACCAAACCAAGGAATCCGTTCACTCAGTGTCTTGCATTTGTCAAATTGTAGAATCCTCATATGAACAAGGATTGAGATTCTAACTTGAAGGACATAACAACTTAGCCAATAGTCACTGTCCTGACTTAATGTCTTGAGACTACCAAATGTATGTAGAGCCCACAGACTAAGGGATAGAGAGTTCGTCTAAACATGTGAATCTATTCATTGTTATCAATAAACAATTCACCCCCAAATGCAGAACACACATAGAGCTCTCTATTGATTCAAATGAAGATCTGATACTGATAAAGTCTAGATTTTTATGGATAAAGCAATCACCTGACGATTCAAGGTGGTTGGATCATGGCGATTCCAGAAAACATCGAGCAAGGTCTCAAAGCTACACTCTTTCGGATCGTACTGAACTCTAACAACCTCGTTGTGTCCCGTCGTGCCAGTACAGACATCTTCGTAACTCGGATTGTGCATGAGGCCATGGCTATACCCAACCTCGGTCTTGGTCACACCAGGAACTCTCTGGTAAGCTAGCTCCACTCCCCAGAAGCAACCGGCGCCGAATTGCGCGAATTGCTGACCTGGCGACGGAACATCGTCGTCGGGTCCTTGGGCGATTGCGGCGGAAGTTGGGTCGACTTGAGCTTGGGGACGAGATCCGAAACCGAGCCTGTTGAAGAGGTTGTTCATCGGGGATTTGTAGACGGAGATGGGTCGTGAGGTTTGGGGGAAAGGGCAAAGGGGTTTGGCTCTAGAGAAAGAGAGTGCGGCCTTGGAGAGAGAATGCAAAGGTTTAGAGAGAGAAGCGGCGGAGATGAGCGGAGGAGAGGCGACGATGACCTGCATTATCAAAGCAGTGACGTGGTGAAATTAGGAACTTTAAGAGGCGGATTGATATATTTGTATCTAAAATTTCTTCATTTCTCTAGAATGTTGCGGAACTACAAAAAATTTTACTTTGGACCAAAATTCAAAATTAATAAATCTTAATTTTCTTCAACAGAGAGAATAAAAAAAAAACCATCTACGTCCCAATTTGATTTTGTTGCCAATAGTGGTAGGCCGTTTAGAAGGAATTCATGAAAGGCCCGAACCCATATTGATGAGCCCAAAGGTCCGTTTGGCGTTTATGTTTCGGTTCGATGCCAACGCCACATCCTGATGAAACTAGACAAAAAACGAACGTGTCCTCGAGTAGACCCCTCTCGTTAACACATGCAGCGCCTGCATGGTGACGCCATTAACACGTGGCATACAATTGCATGATGTCGCCATTGACACGTGACTTCTCGTCTCCTTTCTTAATATATCTAACAAACACTCCTTTCCTCTTCCAAAATATATACACATCCTTTTGATCATTCTCTCTCATTCAAGATCTCATTCTCTCTATTCAACAAGAACAAAAAATGGCGGATACAGGTAGAACAACCCATCACGATATCATAGGCAGAGACCAGTACCCGATGATTGGCCGAGACCGAGACCAATATCAGATGTCCGGACGAGGGTCCGACTACTCCAAGTCTAGGCAGATTGCTAAAGCTGCTACTGCTGTCACAGCTGGTGGTTCTCTCCTTGTCCTCTCCAGCCTTACCCTTGTTGGAACTGTCATAGCTTTGACTGTTGCAACACCTCTGCTCGTTATTTTCAGCCCAATCCTTGTCCCGGCTCTCATCACCGTTGCACTGCTCATCACCGGTTTTCTCTCCTCTGGTGGGTTTGGCATTGCAGCTATAACCGTTTTCTCTTGGATTTACAAGTAAGCACACATTTATCATCTTATTTCATTAGGTTATACAATATGTATGTGCATGCATGTGTTGAGCCAGTAGCTTTGGATCAATTTTGTTTGGTTGATTAACAAATGTCACATTAATAGATTCAAAAAAAAAAATGTCACATTAATAAATTGCAAAATCTAGGGTAGAGACATTTGGTTAATTAAATACAAAAGTTGACGTAGCTACCTTGTTATGTATATAGGTAAATGCTTAGTATGATGCATATTTGATTGTGAATAGGTACGCAACCGGAGAGCACCCACAGGGATCAGATAGGTTGGACAGTGCAAGGATGAAGTTGGGAAGCAAGGCTCAGGATCTAAAAGACAGAGCTCAGTACTACGGACAGCAACATACTGGTGGGGAACATGACCGTGACCGTACTCGTGTTGGCCAGCACACTACTTAAATTTCCCGGGTGTCATCATCATAGTCCAATAACTCCGATGTCGGGGAGTTAGTTTATGAGGAATAAAGTGTTTAGAATTTGATCAGGGGAGATAATAAAAGCCGATATGCAGTTTTTTTTTTTTAATCTTTTTGTTATAAGTAATGTTTTATGTGTGTTACTATATGTTTTTTTTTTTAAGTGTGATGTTGTATGTACTTTCTTTGGCTTCTTTGTAAGTGGTAACGTTGGTCTATATATGGAAAAGGTCTTGTTTTGTTAAACTAATGATAGTTAAATTGGTTTTAAAATCTTTAATGATTGGATTTGTCTTTAAGCTTAAAAAGCTTTTCAAGAAGCTATAAATTTAAGGGTAAATTTAAACACTCAAGCTGATGCAGTCATTAGTACATATACTTATAGCAAGTGATTACATGGCAACCAAAACATCAAAAACAGTAGGTTGCTCGTATTGGTAACCTGAATTGCTCTGATTAATTCGCTTTCTAGTTGATCCCTTCAGGGGATATAATACATTGGATTTGGAAGTTTGAAGGATCTTTCTGACATTGCAGAGCCCAACAAATCACTCCATTGGTCACCTGAATTGCCTCTGATCCTATACCCTTCTTTCACCATCTCCTCCCTCTTCTCTGACTTGTACATGGTCGCTGTTTTGTTCCGATCATCCAACGATCTGTTAACAACAATAAATCAGCAAACCAAAGCGTCAATCATCCAATATCAAATAATGTCATCAAATAATGTCATGTTACAACAACTACGATCAAGATCAAGAATTGGATACAAACTGTATGAGCTACATTGTAATGGAGGCCCAAGAAAGCTGAAAGTAGAGTTGCTTTACCTCAGAATAAGCTTGTCCCAGTTATGGAAACCGGCATTGCGCAGGTTTTCAACAGTGATAACCCGGTGGTTCTCTCTACGCCCTGTAAGCAAGATAACTTTGTACCCCAAATCTACAACCTTTTGGTAAAGCTTGAAGCTTGGTGCTATGGCAGGTGCTATCCCTTTCTCCACCCACTTATCAAACTTGGAATGATCAAAAACTTCCAACCTGCAAATTCCCAAACACAGAACACATATACTGGTAAATAGGTAATTCAACAAAAGAAGACAGATTTCACATTTGGGAACACAGACAAACAAGCAAAGAAAAAAGACAGACAACAACAACACATACCTCAAATCTTTACTCTTTCGACACAATAAAAAGACAAATTCATCTATATAGTTATCAAGAAACCAAATTTTATAGCGATGTTGTAAAATGAAAGATAAAAAGATATATTTATTACCCACAACCGTGTTCCATATAATAAGGAAGATTCGACAAAAGCGTCTCATCAATATCGAAAATCCAAATATCTTTCCCGTCAGCGTTAGATTGGAAGCTGCTCGCGTAGAGCTTAGCCTCTTCGGAGACTCTCTCCACATCGACGACGTAACCTTCACCCATCAGGTAATGATAAACGTAATCGGCGCATTCAGCTGGAATGGTTTTCCATGGAGCGAGATTGTTTGTCTCCGCCGCGAATCTCCAGCTCGTGCAATGTAGATTGACATTGTCGTCCATGTTCTTGAGCTGGGTCTCGAAGATCAATGGTCGCGAAATGAGATACGAGCTGGAGTTTTCATTCGAGAACGCGAGAGGACACAAGGAGAAGAGAAGGAGATTCACGAAAATCCGCATTGTATATTGCCAGAAACGCTCAGAGAAAATTAAAACAAAAAAAAAAAAAAAAAGTTGAAATTTTTGCAATTGGGTCTTCAAGAATCAACTTTAACAAAAAAAAAAAAAAAAAAAATCTTCAAGAGATTCAGGACATAACCGAAATCTGAAGAAAAATCAGAGAGAAGAGGAGAATTTCCATTCTCCAATGATGAGGAAATGGAATATAGAAACCCTAGAAACAGTAAAACCTTTCCCCTCAAGGTCCCTTTTTTCAATGGAGAAATGAGAGAGGATTATCGGAGAAAGGTTCTGTTTCGAGACCAAAATACCAAAAAGGAAAATAAATAGATTTAAGGCAATGGTTTTGTTCTGTCTTCTTAATATTTGGAGTCAAATTAACGGATGGATCCGAATAAACCGTTGTGAATCAAATAAGACCATCTCCTTCTAATTTTATAATTGTTGGATTACAAGATTGATTATTCAAGGTTTCGTTTTCGTAAGTACAAAGCAATATCATCGCTTGAAAGAAAGGGACGGTCTGAGAACGTCTTGCCGTTTTATATATCCAGAACAGCGCTACACAAGTTTGGCTTACTATCGTGTAGACCTCCATTCCATGATAGCTGTGTAAAGAGTATAATTTGGCAATAGGTTCTTGCTATGCAATGGTGAATCCGTCATCGGCGATGTGTCGTGCTCCTCAAGCCACTCCTCTATCGCACGACGGTCATATGTGTACCCGTCAGCTGCAACGCACGGCTCGTTCATCACGTCCTGCATTATTATTATACACACATGCTCTCACATTTTCATCACAACACACAATAACAGGATGTGATGTTTCAACATTTTTGAACAAGGTTTCATATAGAGTTACCTTTAGTAATGGGCAGATGAAATGAGTGGGAGGCTGTGTCGATACGCCCGAAAGTGAGTTCCTTGCCATTTCAGCTACTTTCTTCAGGTTTTCTAGCGCCGGAAGAATCTGGTTTTTTAAATCAGGCCTATCTTTTCCGCGTAGCTCTGTACAACACAAAGCTAATGCGGTCAATTCCCGGGTTTCTTCAATCGGCCAGTTACCCGCTTTCTGATCTAAGATCTTGAGGAACTCATCATTACTATCCATTGCGCTCTCAACGAAATGTGTCAATGCAATAGCAGGTTTTGCTGTGAGAAGCTGAAGAACAATCATTCCAAAGGAATAGACATCTGATTTCGATGATATCATTCCAGTGCGTTGATATTCGGGATCAATATAGCATAATGTTCCCACGGGGCTTGTTTGTTTGTATATAGTGAATTTAGTTGATAAAAGATCGACTTGAACCATCGTTGAAAGTCCGACATCTCCAACTTTGCTGACAAAGTTTTGATCAAGTAAGATGTTTGCAGGTTTAAGATCACGGTGAATGATCGGTTTAGGCTTTGATTTGTGGAGGAAGACAAGAGCCGCTGCGACTTCCCAAGCTATCCTAAACCGCTCAAACCATGGGAGTGGCGGACTGTTGTTGACCTGGAACAGTCTATCCTCCAAGCTACCGTTTTCCATATATTCATAAACTAAAGCTCCTTGCTCCGGGCACGCTCCTAGAAGGAGAACCAAGTGTGGGTGCCGAATCTTGCTCAAGATTTCGAGCTGCAAAGTAGAGATACCAGGGAGATTAAATAAAATGCAGCTTCTTAGAACAGAGATGACTTTCCACAAGAATTAAAACTAAACTTCCATAAAGGGATCAGCACAAAAACCGAAACCGAATGCTCAAGCCTACTTCTATACCTCTTGTTGGAATTGTTTGGACAGTCGACTTTCAGCAGAATGCAAAACTTTGACAGCTGCAGTTGTATGATGCAGATTACACTTGTAAACAGCTCCGTAAGCTCCCATTCCGATCTTCAGCTCTTCTGAGAATGATGAAGTGGCAGCCATAATTTCTTCCCAAGCGAAGTGCTGATATTGAAGCTGAGGAGATCCGAGAGTGCCCTTGAGCTTCTCTCTCTCTTTAGTATCACGTGCGGATTTCCTCTCGACTTCTCTTCTCTGCGCAATTTCTCTCTCCGCTCTTTCTCTCATGCTCTCTGCATCTCTCCTCGCCTTCTCAACATTCTGCTTTTCCCTTTCTGCTAACTCCCGAGCTTCGTACTCCTTCAGTTTTAGCTCTTCAAGCTTTATGGCTTCTTCTAACCGACGTTGGTTAAGCTCACCAAGCTGAAACATTTTCAAAAAAGCATTGAGCACAATTTAATAAGTTTCATCAAATGCAAAGATATATGAGATCATGAGGCCTTCACCTTTCGAGAAGCATCAAAAGTTTCGGTTTGAGCCATAGCATACATTTCTTGAACGTGTCTAAGCTCAGCTCTCAACTTCTCAACCTCAAAGTTTAGGTTTACCTGAACAAAAAACCTTATATTTTTCTGATTCACAAGACAATATCGAAATTAAAACTGCATTTTATACCTGGCTGTCTGTATAAGATTGTTCACTTAGAGCATCAGACATGTTGGAAGCTTGTTGAGAAGCCCGAGAGTGCGTATTATCGACCCCCATGCCAGTCCAACTAAATCTACTACCAATATTCCCGTATTCACGGTTGCTAGAAGAAGAACTCATAGCTTCTTTTCTCTCCTCGTAATCTCTAAGCCGAGGAGTCCAACGTGATGTAGTATCCGTGCTGCTTCTATTGATACTTGAAACATCTCTAGCTTCCTCTGCATCCAAAGACATGCACCTGGTTTCATCCGAGCCAACAGAACTCGTTTCCATTGGAACTGATGCTTGTCTTGCAATTGTAGGGAAATTTTGCATTCTCCTGACCGGAAGGGATAGAGCACGAGATTGAGAGTCATGCACACTTGACATTACATCTAGAAGAGAAAATGGGGTAACAAAATTAGATATACACACCATTTCTAGTAGAGTATTCACACAAATACATTGATGAGTCATGGACCTGAGGTGGGACCAGAAGAACCGCTTGAAGAATTAGTTCTCTCACTACCATCATCTCTTATAGTAGCATTTCCGTCTGAGTCTGATGGTCGGACGCATGACAATTTTCCTTTTGAAACAACATAGACTGTACAAAAGTTCGGCATCAAAGCTGATATCGCCGAGCACATATCAGCTTTCCTGGAATTTTCAAAACAGATTCATTGGTACCAGAAACAGAAAGAACAAATGTCGAAAGCTAGCAGCAGGGTGGTAGTGTACCTTGAGAAAAAACTACGGGATGAGCCTCCAATGACAATTCTGTCTATTGAATCCCGAGTCACTTCTTCAGCTATTGCGGCTGCCAGATTATCTGATTCGATCACAAGAACTTCTACTGCAACCTTTCGTTAAGGTAATTCAATGAGTTCATGTAACCTTCAGTTTTTGATCTTAGAAAACATAAGGTATCTTATATACCAAAGGAAATACCTTTTTCCGCACAAACAATTTTGTGAAAGGTTTAAGCATTTCTTCAGACTGCCACAGTATTTCCTGTCTAAACGCAGTTACTACATCATCTCTTACCTCGGAAATCGGGATTGCATTTCCCACTTGAGAAGGAGCAAGAAATGTACATCAGGCTTTTATCAGTTACAATAAGTCTTAGTTTTGTTTTACACAACAATACCAAATAGAAACAAGGAAAACACAAGAAGTCCTGAGTACAAGAAAGAAACAGAAATACAAGTCATAGTTGGAGCTTTACTTGGTGTAGGTACAGAAGTAATCATTGGATGGATGTGAAGTAGCTTGAAGCCAACATTTCCTTCAGGAGCAAATTTTTCGAGCGCCCATGTAACTACATATTTGCTTTTACTGCTCCCACTTAGAGCCACAACGACGGTACGAGATGGGGGAGGAGGAGGAGGAGGAGGAAGGGCAAGATTGTCTGGTGATCTACTCATTGTTTATCTTTTTTTCTTCTTGTTGATAGTTACCCTGCACAATAGAACCATTTCAGACACTGCAAAACAATGGTCTAAAAAGAGTGTTTTGTTCCAAAAGTAGAGATAACATGAAAGAAAGGGAAAGCTAAGTAAAGCCATCTAAAAATCCAGTCAGTGGGAATCAACAGAGTAAATATACTCTGAACTCACATAACTGGATGTTTAATATCAACTCATCAAACAGAAATGGCAAATGATAACCAAGTATTGACAAATGACAAGATCTTGAACATCCAATGGATCATGAGATACTCTTATAACGTTGATAGTGAAATGTCTCAGAGTCTAATTTGGACGACCTTAAGGATCGTAAAGCAATAACACTCAACGACCATAGAAGATAGCTTCTTATAAAGTTAAAAAACTCAACTTTCCAAGAAAAATGTCAACTTTGAGTACATTGCAATTGCAGAGAATCCGCAAGACTATGAAGCATTAACCAAGTCAATCAAAGGGACCATCTTCAGGGCATAAACTTAAACAAGAAACCCAGAAATAGAACCTACCTGGTTATTAAAGGAGGCAACTTTAAGTCAAACCCAAGACAGAAATGGGGTTTTGCCTCTTAATTCGGCATTGGACATCTCAAACTTGATGAAGAAATGGTGGAAGCTTCCATCAAAGAGAGCAGCCGAGGAAGAAGAAGACCCACGTTGGTGCTGCTAATCTCAGATACAAACAAATCAATGGGTTCTTATAATCAGAGAATCTTATAAAGATTTGAAAAGAAGAACCGAAAATAATAAGAAAATGAGACAAGTTGGTCATGTTAATGGTCAAAGGAGGATCAGTGCTGGGTATATACTCTTTTCTTCATTATCAGAGGAGTGACAGAAGGAGTGTGTGTTAAAAGAATGAAGTTTTCTCCAACCTTAGGCCTTGGCTATTAATTTAATCATAGTTTTATCTCTTAATTCTCTAATGATTTGGTATTTAATTACATTCCTCAACGCCATAGTTGCACGCATGACCTCACGTCTTTTTGTCTCCTACCCTTTATGCATAGTGGAGTGGTACAAGAATTTGGTAGAGTTCAACTAAACATTGGTTAGCATTTCAAACGTGATTTGGCCGGTTCAATTAAAACGCCGGTTTACGAGTTTTAACATGTTTCGGCCTGATATGTCCGAATTAGTAATTGGGCCAGATCACAATGTTAAATGGTGCAAAGAAGAAGAAAAGGAAGGAAAAGAAACAAAATATTCCTCTTGTTTTGAATTATTTGACATTTAAGGTCTTTGTACAGGAATTAAGAAAACAATCAATTTTTCTATTTTATTTTTGTTTAATTTATTCTCTAAATTATTTTATTGGTCAAAACATTAAAACTGTGAAGATAAAACTAGAATTTTTATAAAATATCTGCATTAAAAATCTAAAACGACAACTATTATGTGATAAATTTTAAGTCCCAAAATGATAACTAAATTAAAACGGAGAGGATAGTAAAAATATGGTACCGGACTATGGGACCGGCAAAAGTAGAAGCGAAAAACATTAAGTTACTTATGGAAAACGAATAGCATGTCATTGTTTGTTGTTATGGTCTCCTTAATGATATGATAAAGGTGGAAAACCTCGATTTTAAACTTGTCTTGTCTCCACGCTAAAATCTTCGTCCATTGTAGTCATCTATCTCATGAAATATCCGATTAGGACACATTATTTAATTATTAAATATCTCTAGAAAATTAAAATCTTTTTTTATTTTCTTATGTTGAAACTCCCTTTTCCGTACGAAATGTCTTCCGACTTTCAAATTGGTTTTGGAGTTTTCATGCTATTGAGTCTGATATTCATATTGCTATTGTGTATTTTGAATGTCTTTCAGGTCAATGGTTATTTTCTCCATTCTCGTTTTGTTTGATACAAAAACAAAAGATTTTTTTTAACAAAACTGTAAAAAATGTAAGAAGATACATCAACATTGTTTTAATTTTCACTAAATAATATTCTCTAATTATGCTGCATAACGGACCAAAATTATTCGGACTTTATATATATAAAAAAACAGTTGAGAGATCTCTTTTTAACAAAAAAGAATTGAACGGAAAAAGGCAGAATTTTCTGTGATGGAAACTGGATAAAAGACATCAGCTAATAGCAATGATTATGTATTTATGAATAAGAAGTTTGCACATGGGTATTTTCTTACGATTGTTTTTTTTGTGGTCAATATCTTCTTTTAATACACGAAGTCGAAGACGAGTGTTACATCTTTTCTGTAGTACTTTGATTCCCTAAATCGTTGAAACTCTAATTATATGGCGACGATGAAAATTTGATTGTGGAAGAACTTTTAAATATGATATTTACAATGTTGAATTAGATATAAATATTATTAATTGCTGAATATGACTCATGAAGGTTCAAATACAAAAATAACCCATTCTTACTTGTTTTTCCAAATTTTACATTTAACTAGAAAACACTGTATTTTTGTTAAATTTAGGCTAATTTTGGGCTTCCAACTAAAAAACAATTGGCAATTAGTGGATTGGCCCTAACCCTTTATATATTATTGATTGTCCCATCAAACTTCCGATGTGGGACTTGGATTGTATCTCCAACAATTTTAACCTTTGTGTACGATTTTTTTTTTTAATAGTCTACAAAGACTGAAAATGAAAACATATTAGCGAGTAATAAACTTACTACCCACCTGTCAGATACATACGGATATCAAATTATCAACTTATGTACGTTGACGACATTCTCGAACAGAAGAAAAATATATACTCCAGTATATAACTATATACAGTATATGTTAAAAATCCAGTAATTTGGATTAAAAATCAATCAAGTAAAGTCAAATCCAACTGAAAACGCTACCGGAACTCAAAATGAAAAAGACCTACTTATATTTTTTGGTTTATCTAAAGTTCTAAACTCATACATGTTATACGGAAAAAAAGAAAACTACTACTATTACGTACTGGTTTTAGGTTTTTAACCACGTTCAAATTAAATTATCCAAAATTGAATATGAAAGTTTACGATATAATTTGATCTACATGTTCACCTCTAATTTTTTTTTGTCAACTGTTCACCTCTAATTTTAAGCAAAAAAATCAGATATCAATTTTTATTCTGTATGTTGCAAATATCATTTTGGATTAAGCAAAAAAATGAGATATCAATTTTTATTATATACTGTATCAATTAATCCAGTATGGCCGTCAAAAAAAAAAAAATCCAGTATGGAAAACAATTATTATAACAATAGTGGAGTAGTATTTTAATGAAAAAGAAAAAAACAGAGTAAATGGATAAGCGTGTCGTGGAGAAGAAGGACCAAAGCAAAGGAAAGAAAGTCATAAAAAGCCATTTTGCATTTATAAATCTTTATCCACTTCCTCGATACAATCAAAACTGCTTCAAGCAAAAAGCCTAAGAAATAGCATCGGACCCATTCATCGACTCGGTAGACCAAAAGACAAACTCACCGAGTAAACATACGCAACCTGTCGTTTGAGTAAAGAAAAAACAATTTGATAGTGATCTCTATGTTTGGTGGTGGAAGAGGGCCTATGGGTGGCGGCGGTGGTATGTTACGCGCCGCCGGTCGTGCGATGACGAGGACCGGCGTAGCCAACGGTGGTATTCAAGATCCCTTTGCTTCTTCATTATCCTCGTCCACGTCGTCGCCGGCCTCTGTTTCGCATGTCCATAAACAGAGATCTTCTTCTTCTTCTTCTTCTGGGTCGAATAATCTTACGATTTCCGCGGCTTCAGGGTTGTTGTTGAATCTTCCGGTGGCTGCAACCTCCGGATGGAAAGGCGGCGCTTTTTCCTTTGTTAATTCCGGAGGTTATGAGGATTTTGAGTGGGTTTCTGAGGAAGAAGACGATTCTCTGTTTGGCTCTGTTCCTTCTGTCGACGAAGTCCAAGATGCTGTTTCTGCTCTCCAGCAGTAATCAAATCTCTTTTCTTTTCTCATTTCACTTGAAAATGTGTGATTGTTTTGATGTGACTATTTGAGCTTTGAGTTTTGTCGAAATTATTGACAAGTAATCTCATAAATGGATCAGCTTTGAGTGGTAGGTATTAGTTCCACGAGAATTGTCATGGACTGCTATAGTGTTTAAAAGTTTTAAACTTTTTTTCTGATATGGATGGAATTGTCTTGATCTGATGATCTTGAAGAAGTTTGAAACTCTTTCAGCTGTGTCCCCGTGTCAATTTGACCCCACACAGTTGTTTGTACTATAAACTACCTAAAACCTTAAATACTTTCAAAAGTTGTTTGCTGGTTTATTCATAATAATTGGGTTTTTTTTGACGTGTTGGAGTAATGGTTGAGTCTTGTTTCTCGAAGGGTTTTCGATGCTAGTTCCTATACTCAGCTGGTAAGAGACAAATACGAGTGCTATCCGGAAAGTGGTGGTGAAAACCAGAGCCCTATAGCCACAGGGATGGTTCATCAAGTTCCTTCGTTTGGGTCGGATTCGGACTGGATGGAGCCTTCAATGCAACTATGCCATTCAAGAACCTTACAGCCTCATGCTTATGATCAGGTTTACAATGCTTTTGACCTACTACGAACCGAACCATCTGTCCAGGTGATCTTTCTTTTGTTTTCTTGATTACACTTGGCTCAAGTTTCTGTCTTATTAACTATGTGTTTGATCCGGCAAGTTTTGAGGGAAGAAATAGATGCTCAGGGTTTTAAGTTTTATATCCACCTAACAAATATTTGAATTCTTAACATGGGTTTAGATAAATGAAATCCATTTTCTTTATGTGTCTGTCTTCGAAAATAATCATGGTTGGTCATTTCATTGTATATCATGGTACATGAATCAAGGGCTTTTCACATTTTATGCAGAAAATGGTAGTATCATTGTCGTCTGACAAAGCAGTCTGGGAGGCGGTGATGAACAACAATGTGGTGCGAGAGATTAGGGACTTGTACAACAATGGCATAAGTCAAGGTATAGGGATAATGAATTTATCAATATAAGCCTTTTCATTTGAAACTCCTCTCAGGGCACTCATTGCCTAGTCCTGTGTTTCTATTTTTTCTTATAACAGATGAGGAGAGTTCCGAAGACACTCCTGGGGAGAATAACGCAGCAGTGGATTTCATAAAGTGGGTATTTGACAACACAATGGTTAAGGCCACAGAAGTGTTTGTGAAAATAACAAAGGTCGTGACCGAGCTCTTCAATTGTTACAATGGTGATGGTGTTTACAACAAGGGGAAAGATGCCAAATTCAACAATTGGCTCGAGGAAAGGCTGACGACTTCGGTCCTGCTCTCCATCGTGGTTCTGCTGGTCGTGATGGTGTCCCGAGCCTGCAACAAGTCTTGATCGTTTCAAATTAGCCGACAATACATATGGTCTTCATCATGCTGCTTGTTTAGCTTTGTTTCAGGTCATATTGTGGTTTGTTTGATAATCTTTGGTTCTGTTCTCCATTGTTGACATTTTAGAAGATTTCTATAATAAGAACTCTGAATGTGTCAAAATGTTAAAAGCTTTCTTTTATCCCGAATGTGAATCTCTTACTACAGAAGAAGACAACAAGAAGAGTTTTTACGATCATGGCTGAAGATTAGGTTGTAGTTACAGAATCTAAGTGGTCAATACTACGCTTTTCACATCCTTGTATGAACAGGACCTGCTATATCCAGAACAACCTTCACTTGTGTGTTTCCATGTCTGAAGCAGAGTTCAAAAGAGCCTCAACATCGGGAGTAACAGTCACAAACTTGGCTGAAGAACCAATGCGACAGCAGTTCCTCCCTTTGGTGTCGATTGCTGCCACATCATTATGGAATTTTGCATTCGGACCTGGTAAGACCTGCATATATGCATAGGACCGAGAGTTAAAAGAGATGAAGAAGAGGCTACAAGCAGAGGTGATTCCAACACAGAATCAGATATGTGGGTTCACATCTAATAGTGACGAGACGAAAATGACTTACATCAAAGAGGACATCTCCAAGTTTCAACTTGACAGCACCGCTCTTGTAAACCAGCATTTTGCCCATGAATCCCTCTGGTAAACCTTCAAATGGGTTGCTTCTCCCTGAACTATACTCCCGTACTGATCTCTTGGTGGTTGCTCCTGTCGATTGCTTCATTACAGGGAGACAGTCCGGGATCTTAAAGAAAAACATCTGATTTTTGCAGTGTTGCACCTGCATGGAGCTCAGAAAATACAATCAGTCAAACTCAGTGAAGAGTTTACATGTCTGTCAACATAAATTTGTTTACAAGTTTATTACCGATGTCAGACCGAGTTCTTCTGCTGAGTTGATGGTGTTCTCCTCATAATCACGGTGTTTAGCCACTTCCCCAAATTCCTCCTGGTCAAGAAGTTCTAACAACACAAGAAGTAGGTTTCAGTTTACAGACAGAGGGGAAAACTGCAGGCATTTTACAGAGCAAACACATTCACATCTGAATAGTTGGCGTAAAGCTATTGCAAAGCCGGGAGCGAGAATACCTGGGTCACCAGAGTTAGGCTTTCTCAATGGAAGAACGGTAGGATAGTATGAGTTTCTATAATCCTGGAACATAATAAAATGAGCCAAACCTTATGTCACATAAATCAACACAAGAGAAACTGGGAGAGAAAATCAACTTGTATCGAAAGATTCTGGTTACCCAAGGTTCAACGTAGTCTTCCCCAGTTCTTGTAACCAAATTATGAACCTCCTCTTCATCTTCTTGGGGAGTAATAGACGAAACAGGAGGAAGAATACCAGCAGAAGAAGAGGGATATACATCAGAACTGGGCTTGTCATCTTCTTTAGGAACACTAAACGACCTTATTGCAAGTGATGACAAGCTTGGTTGGAATGCAACTTCAGGAGAAGAAGCTGCAAAGATTTCAAAAGCTATTCAAGAACGATCGCTGCTATAATACAATACATACTATCACCTTCCTCACACATGGTTTTCCGATAACTCATTTACAGAAATGAGATCAAACACAACTCGATAAAATGAAGAATGCGAATACACATATAACATGGATATACATACCTTTCGTTTCGGTTTTGGGTCTCCTCTGGCCAGTCTGCAACAACAACACAAAAAAGTTTTAAGTTTTCAACATTGAGCATTTGGATTAAGTGATGGAGATAACAACTAAGCCAGTTATAAGCTACAAATCAACATGTTAGGTGTCATAGACCAACTCATTTCATGGTCACTAAGCCATCATTAACAAGGTAGTTAAATTGATGCAATCAACAAAAGCTAGCAAAGGAAATGAGGCAGAGATTCAAAACTATTAAAGGTCAGACCAAAAAGAAAAGCACACCGTTTTGGTATTTTGTATATATCATAATCTAAATCAGGGAAATTTCGATTAAACTAATAACTGTTTAACAAAAAATTTCCATGAAATTAAGAGGAAAGAAAATATTAGAAGTGAGAAGATTCACTACATACGCCGATACGTTTGGCTAATTGTCGAGCTGCTTTTCTATTCTCTTCCTCCTCAGCCTCAGCTTCGCTGTGTTTCAGAGAAAAAAGTTTAAAGCTTTTACATGTATAAAGCAGATATAGATATATACAAGCATAAACAAGAAATGATCGAGGGAAAAAAAGAATTACGTTTTTGAGGTTGGAGCAATCGGCCGGAGAGAAGGCTTCGGAGGTCTTGGTTGGAACCTCCGCTGCCGCGAAATGGAACGGAGAGAAATGGTCAGTGATACGCAATTTTTTTCTATATTTGAGATGAAATTACCAAGGAGAGAACAAGAAGATGGAATCAGTAGAGGTTACCTTCGACTTCCGGGGAACTTGGTCGCCTGAATTCATGGGAAACGCCCGCCGGCAAGAGATTCGGAAACGGGGGAAAAAAAAATTGGGGATTTAGGAAAAGAGGGTTTCGAACCCGAGACCTCTGCAGTTCTGATAAGCTGAATTACCAATTGACCTAATAGCGCTTTTATTAACTTTGTTGTCAATCTTTATATCTATATCTTTGGAAATTACAATTATTATTGATAAACATTCTTGGTGAGAAGTGTAAAACATTTATATGTGTATGTGATTGGATGGACATTTTTTTTTATTTGATATCTCATTTTTGTATAAGTATATTTTCATTAAGGTACTGTAGAAATTGCATTACGAAATTTGTTATACACATGGCTTCAATCATTCATATATATCACAAAGTTATCATTATATATTTCAACAATTTATTTTGGATAGGTTGAACTAAATAACTAGAAGTAGCAGCATTCCAGTTTTTTTTTTTTGGTAAACAAGCAGCATTCCAGTTTGCAAAATGTTCAATGTTATTAACATTTAATTACATGTCCTAACTTTTGAGTTATTATACAACTTTTTTTTTCTCTGTTCTTCACTCTTCTGGAGAATATGGACCTTCAAACTCCTCTCCTTCGCCTGTTAAAACAAAGATCTCACCAATTTAGCCATTGCAGCTTCCACGTATAAGATTTAAACCGGACCGGTCAAATTAAATATAATGAAAGTAATGATTGATTTTACCGCAAAGAGAGGAATGGAGAAAAGACTCTTGTCCATTTCTTCAAAATATAACAATTCTTGATTAAACAAGCCGATCAATTCTGTCAGCTCATATAGGATTATTTCAACCTGCTGATATTTAATTACCCGGACATTCTTAAATTAGTTTCTTATATACGCATCTATAAAACAAAGTTAGGAAAAAAAAGATGTATATAAATAAGGTGGACTTACTCGTGGGAGAAACTTGATAATGACGTCTTCGATCTCGTCCATGACTTGTATAGCTATGACCATTTCTTCATGTATCGACACCACATCCATCTGTAACTTACATAATATTATTTTCCGTTTTCTTGACTAACACACAAAATTTTTATAAACCAATTGTTTTCCGAACGAAAGAAAGTTTCTAACCGTGGCACCATGTACGAAGGGTAAACGGACAGACAAAGCATGGAGTTTTCGAGTTAGCTTGCTCAATGCTTCGGAGTTTTTTGCTTCTAATTTTGACCAATCATTAAGTAAAGGCATTTGGAGGCTGAGAACTTCACCTAGTTTGATTTCTTGACGGAGCCTTTGAACTTCAATCAAATTTTCCACTACGTAGTTCCTCATTTTGTATATCCTTAGCCAAACCCAAAACAACTGATCCTGAAACCATTCACAAAAACAAATTAATAGATATTTATAAGATACAAATTAATTTATATATTTTTCATATAGTTTTGTACCTCAACGTTGATCTTAAGTTTAGCCATAGTGGCTTCAGTTCTTGCGTTAACAAACCTCCATTGAAGTAATCTGTTTTGCAAAACCCTAAACCGGTGATAATCCTCCTCTTGGACCGGAGATACTTTCTTCTGCGCCATGAAGTACTTCAAAACTCCGGCCACAGCTCCACCGCCACCGCTTCTTATCTTGGCCTTGCTTACCGGTGATTCAGGCGGCGTCATGCACATTGAATTCGCCGGAGCTGAGCTGGACAGATATGTCTTCATCGTCGAAACTCTCCCTGAGGACAACGCCCACGCCGATGGTGAGCTCGCTCCCGGTTTTACCCCTCTAGATGAAGCGTTATTACGAGGACTACCACGCTCACGTTGATCTAAGTACTGAGCAAACGCCTCTCTGCTTCTACCGTTGTTTATCTCGTGAGATCTTGACGCGCTGTTTCTCGCCGGGATTATATTTTCGCCGGATTTGGGGTTGGATGATCCGGTGGGCCTGGATGATCTCGTTGTAGAGTGTGATCTGGTTATCATCACTCTCTTGCTTGAATTGGATGGCGAAGAGGAAGAGGAGGAAGAAGTAGAAGACGATAACGAGGCGTTTAAGGACACTGGGAGAGAGATCGAAGAGCTTATAGTCCGGCTCCGGTTAATATTGGGCGACGGAGGACGGAGTCTCCGACCGGTGGTTTTGGTGGTTGCCATTTTCTTCTTTAATATTTGACGACGATTAACTATATGATGCAAGACTCGTATATTTGTTTTCGTTTCACATTAGGAATCTTATATATATGAAGCTGAAATTATATGGTTCAAGGAATCGTCTATTCTACATACACTGGTTTGAACAATTATGATATATTATATAGTTAGGGCCGGGGTATATTTAATCTCTTAGATAACGGTTGGGGATTTGTAGGAGTTGACAGCACGTAGGCGCAGGTAATTAGAACACTTCTGCATGTATGTGTGTCTACAGTCTACATATCAAAATATTTCTAAATTCGAGTGTATTTTTTCGAAAGAAAAAAAGAAGAAGAGATCATAATACATGTATAATGTCAAAGCATATGAAGGTCAGCTTAGCTAGAGACACGTCTTTTGTTTTATCTTTCGTCTAAACAACATGGCGGTTTAATATAAAATCAAAACTTAAAAGGTCCAATTCAAAACGGCCCTATGGTATCTAGTCTACGTTGAATAAATAAACCTTAAGAGCGTCGTCAAACTGTTTTAGTCATTAGGCCAAAAATAATTTTTTAACCTCAATACCAATATATATTTGCCTTCTCCAATATCCGAGTCTTTTTGTTCTTTCCGAATGTTTGCCCAAACCAGACCTTCCCACGTTCGGTGGTTGGTGGCCGCCTCGGCTTTTGGTCGTTTTCATTCATGTACCATGAATCCATGATCTAGGGTCATTTGACTTGTTGACCATAAATCTAGTAAACCTGGCCTAATACGATGGGCCGTGGCCCGTTAATAAACAATATATTTGTTTCACTCATTAGCTTGGGAGCCACGGACCTCTAGAACGATCCAGAGAAATATCCACCTCTCCAGAACATTCACTCACCTGATAATATCTACTACCTTCAACACTCTTTACTCATATATAAACCTCCTCTGTCTCCACTATCGCCACACACAGTTCTCAGATAAAACACTACTTACTCTCTGTTAAAACTTTCTCAAAAAAGCTTCATATTTCTCTACAAATGGCATCTTCCCTTGCTCTTAAGAGACTTCTTTCTTCTTCCATTGTTCCACGTTCCCGTAGCGTTCTTAGTCCATCCGTTTCCTCTCGCCTCTTCAACACCAACGCCGTGAGGAGCTACGACGACGATGGCGAGAATGGACAAGGCGTTGATTTCGATCGCCGCTCTGTTCCTCGCCGCCGTGGTGATTTCTTCTCAGGTAACTCAACCAGATCTATATCTTTCTCTTGTTAACGGAGCTAAAATTTAGTAAGAAATCATAGATTAGCTAACATTGATCTTAAAATTTTGATATGGATTTTGTGCAGATGTCTTTGATCCGTTTTCGCCGACGAGGAGCGTTAGTCAAGTGCTGAATCTGATGGACCAGTTCATGGAGAATCCTCTGTTATCAGCTACTCGTGGCATGGGAGCTTCAGGAGCTCGTCGTGGTTGGGATATAAAAGAGAAAGACGATGCTCTTTACCTGAGAATCGACATGCCTGGGCTGAGCAGAGAGGATGTGAAGCTGGCTTTGGAGCAGGACACTCTGGTGATTAGAGGAGAAGGGAAATACGAAGACGATGATGGCGAGGAAGAAGATCAGGGCGGTAATCGGAGATTCACTAGCAGGATTGGACTGCCGGAGAAGATTTACAAGATTGATGAGATTAAGGCGGAGATGAAGAACGGAGTTTTGAAAGTTGTGATTCCGAAGATGAAAGAGCAAGAGAGAAATGATGTTCGTCAGATCGAGATCAACTAAAACGTTGTCGGTTGTTATGTTCTTGTTTTTGTTTTGTTTTGTTTTGTTTTTTGTCTTTGAATAAAGTGTGTGTAGTCATGGTCTCTGAAGACTAAAGCTGAAGGAATCTCTTTTATGTTTCTTGAGGCGGTGTTTTTGGTCTTGCTTAAATCAAAATTTGCAACCCAAATCAAGCACAAATTAAATAAGTTTCCTGATCTTCTTGCTAGCTAATTTGGTTTATATGTCTAATCTTTGTGTTCACAAGGAAAACGGAATTGCGTTTAAATTGAGATTGGAACATATAATTGGAACATTTATGGGTTTGAACTTTTTTTTCTAAGACAGACCAAGAGCATCTCCAAAGGAGGTTGTCTTCGTTTATGTTGCATGGAAACGGAAACGGAAACGTGGAAGCGAAACGTTTCGGAAACGGGAAACGATTTTTTTCTAAAATTAGGGATTGGAAACGTTTTGGAAACGTATACACATATATAATATATGTATATATATAACATTAACATAAAACTATAAAAAATGGTTTAATTAAATAATACAAGTCCAAAACATCAAATATTAAATAGATTAACTAAAATTCTAAAAGAAAAAAGATTAAAAGGTTCACGTTCAAATATTTAATTTAGATCAACATTTTTATTCTTATTTTCATTAGTTTCATCGTAGACCATATAAAGATGTCTCCAAATCTAGTTTGTCAATAAAAAAATCTTAAAACTCAAGAGTCTTCCAAAATTAGTTATATGTATTATAAATTTTAATCTTTTCTACTTTTATTTATTAAGTTTCCAAAGTCAATAAAAAGGATTTGTCGCGTTTCCATTTTAGAAACGTGAGTTTTCATTGTGTTTCCAAATATAGATTTTTAGAAAACGCGTTTTCGTGACGTTTTTCGTGTTTCCGGAAAGTTTCCGTTTCGAAAACGAGAAACGGACATCGAAAAGAGTTTCCATGCAACATAGGTTTCCACTTTTTTGATGAGTTCTCTTCTTTTATTTGATCAAAAATAATTCAAAATTGAGTAAACAAGAGAGACGAACACGTGTCGTTGAGATTTTTAGAGAGACGGACACGTGTCGTTGATTGTATGGAGGAAGCATCGCCTCTCTTAAGACGGATTCTGATGTTACTTGTGTAGTTGTCGACGGACTGGTCTATTAAAAACTCGTCAAAATAGCTCAGGCCCGTTCGTGTTAGCGCGTTGGACAGCCCAACTTGAAAGAATCGATCGGCTATTATCGAATTCACAAAATAAATTAAAAGAAAAAAAAAAACAAAAACCCGACGCTAACCTAAAATCACAAAACCTAAGAGCAAAGCAAATCGACGGCGACGGGAAAATAGAAAAGCTGAAGAAGAAGACTCTAGCTTCCCGCAGATCTCTGTCTCCTCTCTCTCTCGTAACTGTATTCGATGGCACCGAAGAAGGCAGAGGAAGTGGTCGACAACCCTCCTACTTCCAGTGAAGAAGAGGAATCTGGCTCATCTGGAGAAGAATCTGAGTCTTCTGCTGAAGTTTCGAAGAAAGACGAGTCTTCCAAGAAGCCTGAATCTGACTCTGAAGGTGAATATGAATCGGAGTCCGAATCCGATTCGGAGCCTGCTAAGACGATGGAGCTGATGCCTCTTGTGACCAAACCAATTCCAGACAAGTCTGGATCTGCCGCGACTGTACCTGAGAGTTCAACGGCTAAGCGTCCTTTGAAGGAACATGCTTCTGAAGCTATTAAGAAGCACAAGACATCGGAGACTGAGCATGTGAAGAAGCCGACAACAAATGATGAGGTTAAGAAGATTTCTGGAGATGATGCTAAGAAGATGTTTCAGAGATTGTTCAGCGAGGCTGATGAGATTGCCTTGCTTCAAGGTATTATTGATTTCACATCTACCAAAGGAGATCCTTATGAGGATATTGATGCTTTTTGCATTTATGTTAAGAAGTTGATCGATTTCAATGCTACCAAAAACCAAATCGTTACCAAACTTCAGAGGTTGAAGAAGAAGTTTAATAACACTGTGAAGAAGTCGCTTAAGAAGGGAAAGAGTGAAGATGAGATTGAATTTGCTAAAGATATTGAGCAGAAAGGCTTTGAATTGTCGAGAAAGATTTGGGGAAGCAGTGGTGTTTTGGCTTCTAAATCATCAAGGAAGAAAGTTGGAGGAACCCCTGCCCCGAAAGAGATGAAGTTAGTTGCTCATTCCTCTCCCAAGAAACAACAAGAAGAGGCGAAGAAACCGGAGAAAATAGAGACAAAGGTTGTGAACACAAGTCTCTCCATTGGTAGAGAGATTGCATCGTTCTTCAATGCAGAGAATAAGAGTTCTTGTGGTTTGGATGAATCCACAATAACTGCGGTTTGGGCAAAGGTTGCGGATGGAGCAGAGAAGAGAGAAGTGGAGGAAAAATGGAAGAAGCTCAAGGGTAAGGAGTTTGAGCTATGTTTGCAGAGGTCTGGACTCGTGAACGAAACTGCAAAGATGATATTCAAAGCCTATGAATCCTGAGCGGTTTGTCTTTTTACTTTTTAGTATGCATTTTGAGTCTTTTTATTATGCATTTTAGCTTGTGGAACTAATCTTATGTAAGTCTTTGTCGTATTTTCTCTATGCCCCTATGTTGGATGCTTGGTTTGGGTATAAGACCCTTTTGATTATTATTTAGTTCTTCTCTTTGTTCGGTTTCTGAAAAATTATCCAGAAAATGGAATGGCTCTAGCAGTTTTCTGTTTTTAGACGAAATCGACACAAAATCTCATGTTTTTAGACGAAAATCAAAACCCACCGTAGTCTTAAAGTTAAGGTTATACCGAAAACAAGCAACGCAGAGCCAAACTTATAGCATCCTTAGTAAAAACGGCCCAACTCTTTTATGTTACAGTTGTGAAACAACTTGTCATATTAACTTGTAATGTGAGTAAGCTATTGTTATGGAAGGCAAAGGAGAATGGACTACCTGTACAGAGTTGCTAAGTGCTGAAGTTCAAGAAAACATGACACCAATAACAACTTCTGACATAGCAACACATTATCTAAAGTTTTAGTAAATTTGTGTAATTACCAACTTTTTAAACAGATAATAACCAATACATTATGCTTGCCATTTTTAATGATTAAGACCATACACAGTGGGGCACTTTTCACCCGGGTGTAAGGAATAAAAAAAACAAAAATAATAGAAAAACAAGGTTGGAGAGAGGCAACGGGTGTAAACTTGCAACTTTTCTCCAAGGGGTGTAAGTGGCACGTGGCCAGCGCTGAATGGAGACAGGCAAAAACTCGGTCGGAGACAGGCAAAAATTATCATCTCTCTCACTATTTCTCTCTTTCTTTACTTTATTATAATACTTTATTATAATATTATAATACTGTTTACACCCAAGACACACATGTACTACTGCGTGTGCCCTAAGATGCTTAATGTTAATAGAAATGTATATGTGGACATCTTCCCATGAAGTAGAGAAAAATGAATTTGGACACAAAAATGAAGTACCATTCTAAAGAATGTTATTAGTTGAATTTTGGTATAGTTCTGTAGATAAATTAAACAATCAATGAGTTGAATTTTTGGATGAAGAAACGAGTTAGAGTCAGAGGTTTAATGTTCTTACGTGCGGGCACAAACGACAGACCGGACGCCGACTTTGCTACTACACATCAACTATTATTAAACAATTCGACATTTTGTGTTGAAGGTTTCGACTGATATGATGATTCTCATCTTCTTTAGTTTGATTTGTTTCTAGTTTTTATTTCTCGATTTGTGAGTTCAGGTTTAGCCTTATGTACTATAGCTTGCGTTTTAATCTAGAAAACTGGAGGCCAGTGAAGCAAAAGGCTTGGTCAATAAAAAAATACAGCGAAGGGTCAAATATGGTTATTAAAGAGCCAGTTTCACGTCCTTTAAGTAGTGATTTTAATCCCTCCCAGCTTCTAACCCATTGAAGTTGAAGAACAGAGAGAGGTAGAGATACTTTTCTCCTCTCTTCAACTTTCAAAGGTGATCACAATTGCAGGTTCATTCAACATTCTCTTCTAGTTTTCTGTATACTTTCGTTCTGCTTGTTTACAAGAGATTGAGGTTTCTTGTTTTACAAGTAATAGATGAAAAGACAATAAATTCATATCTACATCTGCTTTTCAGGTTTTGGCGTCGCGAGGAGTTGTTAAAGAGATGGCGTCATGGACTTCATCCCAGTTCCTGTATGAAGAAACCAAGCCATGGGGTATTCAGTTCTTGGAACGGTTTAAGCGTTCAGGAAGACTCTCCTTCAAGCAATACCAAGCCCTTGTCTTTATCTTGACCTTTGTCGCCTACGTCGCCTTCCATGCTGCTCGAAAGCCCAATAGCATTGTCAAGGGAACGCTTTCCGCATCAACAATCAAAGGCGGTTGGGCTCCTTTTGATGGACCCGATGGACCAGCCTTGCTTGGGCAGATCGACTTGGTTTTCCTCTCTGTCTATGCGGTTGGGATGTTTGTGGCGGGCCACTTGGGAGATCGTTTGGATCTCAGGACGTTTCTGACTATCGGAATGATCGGGACCGGTCTTTTCACAGCTCTATTTGGGGTCGCATTCTGGGCAGATTTCCACAGCTTCTACTATTTCTTGGCGGTTCAGGTTATGGCGGGGTGGTTTCAGTCGATAGGTTGGCCTTGTGTCGTGGCCGTGCTCGGGAACTGGTTCGACAAGAAGAGAAGAGGAATGGTTATGGGTGTTTGGAGTGCTCACACTTCCCTCGGTAACATCGCAGGGTCTCTGATCGCATCTGGGCTGCTTAGATATGGGTGGGGTTGGTCATTTCTTGGCCCGGCTTTGCTCATGACTTTTCTTGGGATCGTTGTTTACCTTTTCTTGCCGGTGAATCCTCCAACCGTTGAGGCTGAGAGAGATGGAACTGAAATTGACTCCACCATGAGGCTCGGTGACACCATTACAGAGAGCTTCTTGGAATCTAGAATGAGTACTGGATTCGATAGAAAGGCAGTCGGGTTCATGGCCGCTTGGAAAATCCCCGGTGTTGCTCCTTTCGCCTTCTGCCTCTTCTTCACCAAGTTGGTCTCATACACATTCCTCTACTGGCTTCCTTTCTACGTCAGCCACAACAGTATGTTTCTCATCATCTCTCCTTCCTTTTACCTCTAGTGTTGTAGCCTTGATATATGTAAAGTCTGAATAATTAATACGTGATGCAGTGATCGGAGGAGAGTACCTGTCTGAGGAGACATCAGGAAACTTGTCAACAATCTTCGATGTTGGAGGTGTTGTTGGTGGGGTCTTAGCCGGATACATGTCTGATCAACTCAACGGCAGAGCGATCACAGCAGCAGGATTCATGTACTTGGCAATCCCAGCTCTTTTCCTCTACAGAGTCTTGGGACATATCTCATTGACCATCAATGTCATCCTCATGTTCATATCAGGAGTCTTCATCATTGGACCATTTGCTCTCATCACAACAGCTGTCTCAGCTGATCTCGGAACACACAAATCTCTCAAAGGCAATGCCAGGGCTTTGGCTACAGTCACAGCTATCATAGACGGTACAGGATCCGTCGGTGCTGCGATTGGACCAGTCCTCACTGGTTACATCTCTGCGATTAGCTGGGACGCAGTGTTTTACATGTTGATGACTGCGGCTTTGATCTCTGGATTGTTGCTCACTAAACTAATCATAGCAGAAGTCAAAGCTTTGTTGTTTGGATCAGAAGAAGAAGTAGCTGCATCATCATCATCACCAGCATCCAGAGCTCCCATTGATGTCCTCCTTTGAGTTTTTTTTTTCCTTCATGATTTCGAGACTTTTTATTTAAAGTTGGTTCCTTTTTCCCAGTTGTCTTAAACATGATCATGTCTTCACTTTCTAAAGTTTGAATGAGAATAAATACCTAATTTGATAAAATCAGCTGAAAATTGCAGCAATCGGAGAAAAGAATCTTCATTTGATTGTCAAATTTCACTGAATTTACAATCCCACAAATTACACATAAACCTTAAGAAGTAGCAAAATTATCAGGAGGAAAAAGATGGGTGAATTCACCGGAGAAGCTGCTAGTGGAATCTGTATCTCAAACGTCGTCTCTGCTTTTGGGCTTGCGATATTTCTCCTCAACTTGCTTGGCCATTGAAACGGCGCAGTGACTAAGCTTCTTGATGTTAGGAACGTTGTAGTTCTGAGCGATGTAGATCCCGCACACTGTTCCCGTGATGAAAGAGAAGCTGCTCCTTATTATTCCCATCTTCTTCTCCACTCCGGTGCGAACTAGATCGGAGTTTCTTTTTAGGGTTTATGATTTGATCGGTGATTGACGGAATTAAAAGCGAAATTCGAGAAGATCTTTAGAATTCTGGAAACTAATAAGTCGGAGATTGAAGATTCATTAGTGGGCTTAGAAGGCCCAAATATAGTTAACTTACATGGGCTTGCATTGATCCATATGAATTTTTAGCTCTTGTTTATTTGTTTTCTTCTATGGGAGAATAGTGGGAACTAGACCAACTTAAGAAAAAACTTTTTTGACTTTTAAAGGTGTTTTTGGTTGAATCGGTCATATTCAAATTTGTTGGTGCGTCAAAAATAATGGGTTATCAAAAATCAAATTCTAGCAATTTAAAAATAATTAAAATTTATCTTTCGTAAGATGTATATTTCATTTTGCTGTTGGTAAAAATGATTAGTCTAAACATTATAACTAGAGTTTTTGGTTTCACCAAAACCATATATAAACGAGTTAAAATATTATTTAGATGTTATATTAAAAATTTTCCGTAAGTGAGCAAGCATACATATGTTGACAAAATTAACCACCAAAAAAAAAACATGTGTTGACCGTATCAGTTTTATTTTCTTACTTTTGTTTTTTAATTAATAAGAAAAGTTTTGTTTCGAGGAAGAAGAAGATATCGATTTTTGCTTTTCTACTTTTCGATTCTCTCGATCGAGAGAAAGACAGAGAGGCACGGTGCTTTCAGAGAATTTCACAACCGACAGCTTCGCGGATTCAGGTTTTTCTGCGAATCGATCCATTTCTACAACTCTGATCTCTGCATTTTATTCCTCCCAGCTCCTTTCTTCAATTTTGGATTTTTGATTTATGTTTCTTCTGTGAATTTTTGGGATCATATCTTTTTTCTTTCCGGTGAATCGGGCCTTGTACTTGGAACCTCTCTTTTGCATTTTTGGCTTCTCTACAAATCTAATTTCACCTGTGGAAATATGACTCAAATCTAAAAGAATCCAATTTTTGGATGTCCTCTGCTTTGGAGCTCAATTTTCTCTAGATTCTGAAAAAGAAAAAAAAAATCATCTTTTTATGCAAATATGGTCAATTTGTTGTTGTTGTTGTTTGTATCGTCCGAGTCTTAATACTAATGAGAGATCATGTGGCTGCAGATGGCGTCATGCTAATATGACTAAATGAGATTCTGGGGATTAAGTTTAAGTGGGAAGGCTGTTATTGTTCCTAATGGGGATTAAGTACTTGCCGCTCTCCGTAGCATCAACAGCTCTCAGCTTTGTTGGACTTCAAGTCTGGACAGAGTTTTCTCTCGATAGACTTCGAGCTGATGGGCTGATTGCCAAGAACGTTTCTTTAGGAGACTCCGAGCATGCGCTTGAGCTGCTTCTCGCCTCTTATTTCACTATTGCGCTGCTCACTAATTTTGTGCTCAATGTGTATATTCTTCTGGTACTTTCTCTCAAGGTAAGACTTTATTAGAGTAGCATTTTACTACTGGGATGCAATTTAAGCAATGCTCTTTCTAATATTTAGCTTTTGTAGACTGTATCAAATTGGTGAAACTGAACTTCCTAATTTCATTAGTTAATACTTTGAGCGGTTAATACCTTTATGAAATTCCTCATATCCTTAGACTTAGCTTTTTGCCTCCTAATCTACATAAGTCACTTGTACAGAGGTGTCTCATTATTTGTTACTCTTATTCTTAATGGTTTCACTTGTTGCTTTGGGAAAAAAAAATTTATGCTCTTAAATTTTCAGACTTGCACCACTTATTTTCTCTTTTGTTGGAAAAAGAGTCCAATTTACAGTTCTTAGTTTGGTTACAATCGAATACATTATAATTAGTTTTCACCTTCAAATAAAGGTTTGTGAAGAAGCAAGTGTTCTTAATTTGTAAGAGTCAAACTCTCGTTTCCGGCTAGTCGAATGTCTTGCATGAAAGAAAACTCAATAATTTCATACTGTTTGCTACCATAGTATACTGATTGTTTACATATGTCTTGTGACAATTTTCTGTGCTTCTAATGTCTTTTAAACATCTTCTGCAGACTCTATTTTTTGGAGATTTATATGACGTTGAAACTAAAAAGTTGGTGGAGCGACTTGCCAATTATATCATATACAAGGTAGCTGTTCTTACTTTGATTGAAAACTAAGACTGTGACATACAATAACCTACATTCTTTGTTTCGTATGAGATATTCTTGGTAGTTTTCATTATTCAATATCGTAACTGCGTCAGGAAAACAAATGGAATATTATTATAATGACAGAGTAATGGAAAAGAGAAGAAAATAGTTTTTGAGGCTTGAGGGAGGTCTTTACTTAGACAGATGATTCTACCACATTTTCCCTTCATTTCCCCTTGAACTTTGCATTTTTGTGTAGTGTTTCCTTGATTCGAGTTATTTGCAGATATCTGTATGTATTTTGGATGTTAATAGTTTATTCCCGCTTCTAATCCTCCTATCCTTAGGGTACGTTTCTACCACTGGTGATTCCCCCAACAATATTTCAGGGTGTACTGTGGACAGTTTGGTTGACTGTTCTATGTACTTTAAAGGTATGGAACACTGCGTGTTTTTGATTTACGAGAAACCAAATTCTGAATTATCTTTTGTAACACCCTAATGTGTATTTTGTAATGCCATGTAGATGTTTCAAGCTTTGGCTAGAGACCGGCTTGAACGATTGAATGCATCTCCTTCTTCTACACCTTGGACATACTTTCGTGTGTATTCAGTGCTGTTCTTGGTCCTCTCTGTTGATATGTTCTGGTAAATCCTAAACCCTGCGGTATAGTGTCAAATATTCAATTGCTGCATCTTCTATCTATTCATGACCTTAAACTATCGAAGTCATGTTTCCATTCAATGTTCTCTCTGGACTCTATATATACTTCTTAAACAAAACTTAGGTAAAAAAAATTAACCTACATGGCTGACGCTCTTAATTTCAATTGAAAAGTGGTGCTCCTGGAAGTTGATCTTGATCCTATACATACAACTTGTTTTTCTTCTCAAACACTCCTGGTTTATGTTAAAGGATCAGAGTAGATGTTCTCTAGATTTACCGCAGTCCGTCAAGAACAACTTCATAAAGCTCTTTAACAACATAGAGAGAGTGCATAGCTTGCTTTTTATGTTTATGCTATATTGTGAGAGATGTTATCCTGAAATTCATCTATGCATGAACTCTGCGTCAAGGTGAAAGTAAAGCCAAAAACTTCTGTGTGAAAATGTGGATGCCGTAGAGCAAGGAAAATGTTGTGTCTGAGTTCATAATGTTTGTGGACTGCAGTCCAGTTAGGAAACTCGTTTGATTTCTTTGTGTGATAACTTTTTAGTAACCAATTTCAAGCATGTCTGGATGAGATACTGAGTAAAAGGATTTACTTTTCTCCTCCAATCTTGCAGGATAAAACTTTCCCTTATGACATACAATACAATTGGTTCCTCTGTGTATCTGTTGTTACTTTTTGAGCCATGCAGTATAGCTTTTGAGACCTTGCAGGTACTTAATTTATAACAGTTGTCTTCTTTGTCCTACTCGTTGTCTTTCTTTTGTAGCCATGGTCAACAAAATATAGAACTCATTAGAATTTTTTTGCAGGCGCTGTTAATTCATGGGTTTCAGCTGCTAGATATGTGGATTAACCACTTAGCAGTTCAGAACTCAGACTGCCAAAGATCTAAGTTTATCGATTCCATGACAGCAGGTAACATCTTTTCTGGTGTTATGCTTTGTTTTTCTATTAGATCCCGGGAATGCATTTCTGTGGACATTTTTGGTCTATTGGAACTCCAAATCTTATGGTAAATTCTTATCTTTGGATAGGCTCACTGTTGGAATGGAAGGGCCTCCTCAACCGTAATCTCGGTTTCTTCCTGGACATGGCTACTTTGGTAATGGCACTAGGTCATTATTTGCACATTTGGTGGCTGCATGGCATTGCCTTTCATCTGGTGGATGCAGTTTTGTTTCTCAACATACGTGTATGTTTGTTAATTGGTTTTCTTTAAAACACTGTCACTCTTCCGGTTACTTGATACTAGGCACAGCATTCGATTGTTGTATTTTTGACCTGGTTCTCTGTTTGGTTTGGCAGGCATTGCTAAGTGCCATTTTGAAACGAATAAAAGGATATATTAAACTAAGAATAGCTCTGGGTGCTCTCCATGCAGCCCTCCCCGATGCAACTTCTGAAGAGTTAAGGGCATATGATGATGAATGTGCTATATGTCGGGTATGCTTCTGCTATAGTCATTTTCTTATAAGTTTTCAATCTCAAACTCTTAAAATACAACTATAAATGGCAGGAACCTATGGCCAAGGCTAAAAGGCTTCACTGCAACCACCTTTTCCATCTTGGATGCCTGCGATCCTGGTGCGCTTAGCTAAATATCGGCAGCCCCATGTCTTTATGACTGAAACTGGTGATCCTGATGATGTTTTGATGCTGGCAGGTTGGATCAAGGTCTAAATGAGGTTTATTCTTGTCCTACATGTCGTAAGCCTCTTTTTGTTGGTAGAACTGAAAGTGAGGTGAACCCTCACACAGTGGAAGTCTCAAGCGATGAGCAGTTAGCCCGTCAGCTTGAAAGACAAAACAATCCTGTTCGTGCACTAGCAACTGGTTTATTTCCTGCCGAGGTGCCAAATTCCGTCGAAAATGATACTTCGAGGTTCAGTTCATTCTTCGTCCTTGATTTTCTTAATTAACTACACCAAAGTAACAGTTTGCTTAGAACTTAATGATTCCTTTCCTGTGACTCCCTTGATCTTGGTGCTGATATACTAAATTTGCATTACCTTAAATTATACATTATTTAAAAATGAATTGGATAGCAAGTAATATTTGGTTTGTAACGACCACTATTTGTGCATATATCTTGGATTTGTTTTTAAAGAGTTGCATTTTGAACTGGATTGTATAAGTTCTCATCCTTTTCTTTCACAAAATAGGAATTTAGGATTGGATCCAAGCTGGCTGCAGACATGGTCAGGTCAGGGTTCTGATGTCGCTGGTCCCTCTACCGCTTCCAGGTCAGTTGGACTGGGGCGGGTTCAGATGATGATGAGGCATCTTGCATCTGTTGGCGAAAGCTATGCTCAAACTGCACTTGACGATGCTGCTTGGAGTCTATGGCCGATGAACCCTTCACAAGCATCCACTTCTTCTACAACTGTACCTCCTGGTACTGGTGGAAGGACAGGTGGTCTGCATCTGAGAACTGTATCAAGCACGACAAATGAAAGCTTGGCAAATATACTAGCTATGGCCGAGACTGTGAGGGAAGTCATGCCACACGTGCCCGATGAAATTATTTTCCAGGTAAATATTAAGTGCATATTGGATATTCTGTAAGCTTTGACGGGAAGTGCATACATGGTTGAGTTGGTGGGTCACTTAGACGGTCTTCTGCATTGACTGGAAGGAACGATTTTCATATATTCATACCTGAAACCGAATCTTATTACTTTATTTATGTGGTCAATTTGCTTGAACCCATTGTCCGGTACCTGGTCTCTTGTTTGCTCTAGACTGGTCCGTAAGTGGTGAATAGTTCAGTACTAAGTAAGATTCATGTGACTTGATACTTGAACCTGTTGCGTTTCAATTTCTTGCAGGACCTGCAGAGAACAAACTCTGTTGCTGTTACGGTGAACAATCTTCTCCAGATGTGATGATAGTTTGTGTAATATATACTAAGCACTTGCATTTCAACCTTAGATATAGATTAATGATTGGGGACATATCCTTGTCCTTAAGTCTTTACACACCACCCAACATTCCAAGCTTCACCCGCTGTAAATATAAAGCAATGTGCATCACTTTTTGCTATAGAGAAGAAGAGGCTCTAGTGTATAGCTTCTGTTCATTGCTCTCTTGCGAAAAATAAGTTCGGATATTTACTCAAGGTGATGATGATGCCTTGGTGGTCTGGAGATATCTTTGTCGCAGTCTGACCTCGGCTCCAGTCTCGAGGGAGAGTAACCACTCTTTGCAGCTGCTCTTTTGGCTGCTGCTATCTCTCCTGTATAAGAATGTGTAATTTACAATAAAATGAAGAAGTAAATTAAAGAATCTACCGTTATTGATCAAATAGCCTGTACTGTAGTATATCACCAAATGTGTAAACTCAATTTTTTTTTCTGAAGAACTTAAGAGTATCCTTCTATATCCTCTATACTGGCTTTGATAACTTAAGTCTACAGGTTTCGAGGAACAGATTAAAAGTGAAGAGACAAATAAAATATATTCAACATATAAAAATCTTATCGAAGAAAATTAACATATAAAATCTAATTTTTCATACCCATTTCGAGTAAAATAATCAATAGAAAAGTATCATGTTGGTACTTTTAACGCAACTTTAAGCCAAAAAGATTGTGAAGAGATTGTTTCTTTCGAAGGAAGCAACTTTGTTTTTGTCCATGCCGTGTGTGAATTGCTATGGCAAAAGAGAACCACTTTGTCTTATTTTAATACGCTTCTAGACATTTATCTACTTAGATAAATTTTATACTACGTTCAATTAAAATATATGAGGTACATTAGCTGGCATAAAAATCTATTCCCAACAAATGAGGAATATTATACGTCTAAGATATAGTACTTTTTAAAACATAAGGAACAAGATTAACATATATGAGACCTCAGACAAAGGGAAGGCCATGAAACATTGAATAAGAGAAAGCAAGTGACAGATATATGGCCATGAAACAATATTCAATTTAGAGAGCAAGTGATCAAAAGACGTAAGAAAATTTGCAAGTGTATTTGATAGTAGAAGATACTCAATATTACTATCATTTATCAATTTGGTGGAGGGACTCTACATCAAAGATATTAATAGGGTAATTAGTTAAGCAAGACGCAAGTATCAGGAAGTGAGACCACTAGTTTGCAACAATCTCTTGATAGTCATCTGAAATCTTCTTCATATGCTAATCTCAACGCATCGAAACTTTAATGGAACGCTTAATTGACATAATGTAGCAAAGTTACAATGCAACATATGGAGAAAATCTAAGGAAAAACAAAAGAAAAGGTGAACAACATAAACTTAATTAATAAGAATGTAGAATTATATATTTTGTACGTTAAATCCTGACCAAGAAATGATAAAATAACAAAAAAACTGGATGATTTGTTCCCACATTCTTCTGGTACATGTTTCCAGGTCTTCTCCTCAATCTTTGCAATTCAACGCTCTTCCTTGAGTTCATTTTTTTTTAACTCTTTTTTAATTAAGAGATTTTTTTTGAGCAAGTATTAATTAAGAGATATTGAAACCCCAAAAAAGTACACTGGCACATAAGGATAAATACAAAAATATGAATGCTTTTTTCAGAACTGTTTAAAGGCAAAGCTTTTTTTTTTTTGTGTAAATTTATGGGAAAAAAAAGAAGAAAAAAACAAACTTTATTTCTAAAAATAAGGCAAAAAAAAAAAAAAAATGATAAAAAAGTCAAGTGTCTCTCATTTTCCAGTGTCTTGTAAGAAGAAGTTCAAAAACCCACACTGACACTTAAACACATTGCTTCGTCTTCTCTACCGTTTCGATTCACTCATATAATGATTATGTCAAATCCGTAAGCTTTGTGATCACGGATACGCAATAAAAAAAAACCTAACTTTATGGCGGCGACTTGTTCTGTGTTCCTCCTCTGCTTTGCTCTTCTCTCCGGCGTGTCTTTCGCGGCGGACCCTTTCGTCTCCTACGACTTCAGAGTTTCTTACATCACCGCTTCTCCCCTCGGCGTTCCTCAACAGGTTCCGTTTCTTTCTCACCTTTCCTTGGAAATCTCCGGTTCTGTGTTTGAATAAAGGTTCTCGCTTTCGATTGAGAGAGAGATTCAATGCCGGCGTCTTAGAATGCTTTTGCTTTCTTAGTTTTTTTTGAAACTTGTATTGGTACCTCTGGATCTAAATATACAATGTGTTTGAGGTTACTATCATAATTTTTTTTGGGTTTTGGTATCGAACTTGGTAAATGCTAAAGAGGGTCACTGAGGTTGATTGTGCTTTACATGGGTTTAGGTATTCACTAATGGTTCCTGTTCTATGATTGGCATCAAAAAGATTGACTTTTTTTTAATGTGTTAGCCTTCTTTGATTTGGTGTTAACTTCGTTTATTCAGGTTATAGCTGTCAATGGGCAGTTTCCAGGACCTCTGCTTAATGCCACTACCAACTACAATGTTGTTGTTAACGTTTTCAATCATTTGGATGAGCCTCTCCTCTTGACTTGGTGAGACCAAGAGCTCTGTCTCTTTTATTTACCTCCTTATCTCCTAGTTTCTAAAGACTAGTATGCTTCTTGGGTTCTTCCATTTGTCTGTTGGAATAGGCCTGGCATCCAAATGCGGCGTAACTCGTGGCAAGACGGTGTTCTTGGCACAAACTGCCCTATTCCTCCCAGATGGAACTTTACTTACCAATTTCAAGTGAAGGATCAAATTGGAAGCTTTTTCTACTCCCCTTCACTCAACTTTCAGAGAGCATCTGGGGGTTTTGGTCCCATCGTGATTAATAACCGTGACATTATTCCTATCCCTTTCCCACAGCCTGACGGCGAACTCATCTTCATTATTGGTGATTGGTACACTCAGGACCATAAAGTATGTAATCATGACTTTTGTATATTTTCCTTTAACGCATGTGGTTATCACTTATCAGCACCCTGCATTTATACCTGAGACACTGTTGCTTCTCAGGCATTAAGGAGAATACTCGACTCTGGGAAAGAACTTGGGATGCCAGATGGAGTCCTCATCAATGGGAAGGGTCCTTACAAGTACAACAGTAGTGTACCTGATGGAATTGATTACTTAACCTTTCATGTTGAACCAGGTATAATTGTTGGGAGTTTCTGAGGAATTTTTGCTATTTCTTTGTCTCATGAGACCCATGAATCTTCTCATGTGACTTTCCTTTGCATCCTAGTAACATTTTGTTTGAAGAGTTGCCTGTGTTGAGTCTTCAATCTCAGTTAGTTTTGTTGTTCCAAGATATTATTTTTCCTTATTCACTTAGAGCTCTTAATACATGAGTAACTGTTGCATGTAGTTGAACATGTTGTAAAGATGGTACTTCAAAAGTTCACATCTTCAGTTTTTTTAGTATAAGATTGATAAGATTTGTGCAGATTCATTGCAAATTATTAGTTTTCTAATAAACTAAAAAGGTTATATTTTGCAGGAAAAACATACAGAATCCGTGTTCACAATGTTGGGATCTCGACAAGCTTGAACTTCAGGATTCAGAACCACAATTTGCTTTTGGTAGAAACCGAGGGTCACTATACCTCACAGGCGAACTTTACTGATTTTGATGTTCATGTAGGACAGTCTTATTCTTTCTTGGTAACCATGGACCAAAACGCCACAAGTGACTACTACATTGTTGCCAGTGCTAGATTTGTGAATGAAACAGTGTGGCAAAGAGTCACTGGTGTTGCCATTCTCCATTATTCTAATTCCAAAGGACCTGTTTCTGGTCCTCTACCAGTTCCAAAAACCGATGTTTCTAGCCCATGGTCAGCAATGAACCAGCCGAAGGCCATCAGGTTTGATTTTGAATATTTTTTAGGAGCAAGTGCATATTAATGTTCCCCTTCTTGTTGCTACAACTAGAATTTTGTTCCAGTGAAGTTGACTCTTTTGATTTGCAGGCAAAACACATCTGCTAGTGGAGCTCGTCCAAATCCGCAGGGATCATTTCACTATGGTCAAATAAACATCACTAACACATACATTTTGAGAAGTTTGCCTCCAACAACAATTAACGGGGCACTACGTGCTACACTTAATGGGATTTCATTTGTGAATCCAAGCACTCCAGTGAGGCTTGCGGATCGCAATAAAGTGAAAGGAGCTTATAAGCTGGACTTCCCTGATAGACCTTTTAGTAGACCTCCTCGTTTGGACAGATCTATGATCAACGCAACATACAAGGGGTTTATACAAGTTATTTTCCAGAACAACGACACCAAGATCCAGAGCTTCCATGTTGATGGATATTCATTTTTTGTTGTTGGGTAAGAGAAACCTTGGCACCTTGTCTTCTATTCTTGTTCCTCCATTTAATTATCTATAAAAAAATCTGGTGCTGATGTACCATGATAATCCAGGATGGACTTTGGTATCTGGTCAGAAGACAAAAAGGGTTCATATAACAACTATGATGCCATCTCAAGAAGCACAGTTGAGGTTCATACACCGTAGCATCACTCAAAATTACTCTGAACTGCAGGTTTTCTTAATGGTTCTCTTGTTATTTAGGTATACCCAGGGGGATGGACGGCTGTACTTATTTCCCTTGATAATGTCGGAGTGTGGAACATTCGAGTAGAGAATCTTGACCGATGGTATCTTGGTGAGGAAACTTATATGCGGATCACAAACCCGGATGAGGATGGAAAGACAGAGATGGATCCTCCTGACAATGTCCTTTACTGTGGTGCCCTTAAGAACTTGCAGAAGTATTCATCTGAAACATTTCTTCTATCTGTTTTGCTATGCCTTTGGATGATGAGAATCTTAACACTCTTTATCGTGATTGTTGCAGGGAACAGCACCACTCAGCTGCAACATCTATACTAAATGGACGCTTGAAGCTAATGCTAATGGTGTTGCTCGCCTCGGTTATGACATTTTGCTAAGCCTTTTTACATCTTTCTGCCGGAGAAGTGAGGTTCTACGGTCTGTTATTCTGATCTCCAACTAGTTCGGCTGTAGAATGTAGTAGACGTTAAATGATATTTAGATTTATTTATCCCCATGGGCCATGGATGTGAACAACTCTTGGTTCTTTTGTTGTTTGAGGCCAAAATGGTTTAGCATCTTCTCAATTGTAATGAAAAAGTTTCTTTTTTCTTTTCCTTCATGTTTCTCCCATCTTATACCACATTATTTTCTCATTGTTGGATTTTCTCTATCTTAATTTTTTTTTATTAACTGCCATCTGCTTCCTTTTTTCTTCCTATGATTCCATAATATAGGGTGATTGGTTGAACTTTGAAATGTCAATTCTAAGTTTATGTGTACCCATGACTTTCTAAAATATAGAAAACTTAGTTAATACTATTTTGCAACCGCAAAAGATATGAGAACTTTATGTTTTCGTTAGATGCTTCTTAACTTCATTTGGTAATACTTCTCGAAGAACTTTTAGTTCTGAAAACAACTCTCATATTCGTATCACTTTGTTCTGAAATTTGCAATTTTGTGCACAGCTTTACATTTTTCTTTAGCTGATTGATATTTTAAATGTTCTAATTTTTTTTTATATAAATCATGTGCAATTTCCAGCCATTAAACACCTACGTATAAAACACCTAATTTGCATATCAATTCTCTATAATGTACATGATACGTCGATCTGTCTTTCTTAATAATTTACAGAAGAATTATGACTAATAATATCTTAAACAAAAAAATAAGTTGATGTTTCTCCGAAATAAGAGATCTGGTCCACGTTCATGTTACATGCACATCATATCACATCACGTGATACCTTGCTTAAACACCGGAATGAAATTTGTAATAATCTTCAAATTTTATTTGGACACAAAAAAAAAAGCTTCTAAATATTGTTTGGTGTAATTTGAGACGCCTAGGTTTTGTAAATTATGATAAACAGATAAGCAGACGGTCGTTTGATTTGAAATGGCCATGTTTAGCAAATTATGACAATCTTCGTATGATTGTTTACATGTCAAAGCATAAAGATTAGAGAGAAACGAGACTAAGATAAATAAGTGGTTAATGATCGGGGAGAGAACTGGAACAACAGCATGATATGTCACATGACCTCCAATAATAAATTAACAATCCAAGGTGTCTATATAATCCAATGTGTCTATATATATATATATATACACATAATCGATAGTTTCACAATTTGCTAAAAGCTAGCATTTTCAATTCCCGAAACAAACATGTCGCGTTTCGTGATACTCTCTCTAACTCTCATGGTTTTCATCAACTCATCAAGCTTTCCAAATACAGTAGCCACTCCACCAGGCACGTACCAAAACCACACAACGTACGTAAAAACGGCATGCAATTCAACAACATATCCTATGATGTGCTATAACTCATTGTCCTCTTACTCCGCCACCATCAAGTCTGACCCAATCAAACTTTGCACAACATCACTCAACCTCAACGTCAAATCGGCTAAAAATTCCACATTAGTTGTCTCTAACCTTCTCCAAAAGGCTAAAGCCGCCAAAAGCCACGAGGTCTCGATCCTTAAAGACTGCGTGGACGAGATGAAGGACACTATCGACGAGCTTAAGCAAGCGGTCGCCGAGATGAAGTATGTCAGAGGCCGAGGAAAAACTACGGAGGAGCATTTAAAGAACGTGATGACGTGGGTGAGCTCTGCGTTGACCTACGAGGGCACGTGTACGGACGGATTCGAGGAAGGGAAAGTAAATGTGGAAACAAAGAAGAAGGTGAAGAAGGCTGTTTCTCAGCTTTCAAAGACTACAAGCAATACTTTAGCCCTTCTTACTCATTATTTAAGTTACTGATGAATATCCATTATATTCACGGCACCGCACCTCGATCTTTTTGCTTGTGCATGTGTACGTTTTCTTTTCTTTAATTTACGCGATAAATAGTAATCTAAATTCGAAGTTTTCACAGCGTGTAACGTTTACGAATTAATTGAAGTCGCATATGTATAGTACGTGGCCATGTTTGGGTTCACTGTTAATTAAGCTTAGATATAAAAGAGTTCTGGAAATATTCAGAATCTGTCTCGAATGTTTTCACAAATTAAGCTTTTGAAATTTGAAGTACATTTTTCATCCCTACCGGATGATATACCAAAGTATAAAAGTCAATTGATATGACCAAAATATAACTTAATAATGATAAAATTGAACTCGTTTGTTGTTGATAAAATTGATACATTAAAAAATTTTCATATAATATTGCACCGAGGCTTGAGTATACAGTAAGCATATAGAATCAACATGTCAGAAGGATTCGTATTACATATGAACGGTTCCATGTGGACCGTTTTCCGTTGACCTTATGACTTTTCTGCCCTTTATTTATCAACGATTCATACATTACTAATAAATTTAGTCGATAGTGGAAATAGTTAAAACTAATAAAATTATTAATTTCTTTTATAATTCTCCTCTATAAATCTCTATATGGTTATTTTTTTCAATTTTCTTTAAGATAGGATTGGTTTTAGAAAATCTATAATGTTTTTTTTTTTTAATCAATTTTCAAAAGCTTTTGCAACTTTTCTATGACACATACATGACAAGTGCTAGAACAATCAGTGTTCTTTTTCTCAACCAAAGCTATGCCATATGAGATATAGCATCTTCAAAAAAAAATTAATACTATAAAATTGAATGAGAAATCTTTACTCAAATGAGAAACTTTAGTAAAGATTCTTAACTTTTGGAGATATATATATTTTTTTTTATAACCGAGTGTCCTGGCCCCACCAAGGTGGTCCAGACTAGAGACCGAACCCTTACGGCACGGATGCACACACGAGGGTGGGTCATGGCCAGGTAACGGTCTACGGTCTCGGACGCCAGAGCAAGTCCGCATGTAAATTCCCTGGTGGCCTCTAATATGTAGCAAAGGGGAATCGAACCCGGGCGTATTGAGATTACCCCCTCAACCACGAAATCCGTCCTACCACTAGCCCACATGAGAACCTTTTTGATATCAATATCCTTTTTGATATTCACATGAGAACCTCCATTGGGAGGTGCTCTTACTGTTTTTGAGATAAAAAAAAAAGTTTGTTTGGTAAGTAATCTATTGTAAAACATTGAGAAAAATCAACATCAACTATGTAGACCGTAGATGATACAACAACAGGGTAAGAGAAACTGAAATGCCTCAAAACCAAACCAAAGCACATTTCTTCAAAGCTCAATAGAAACCAAATCCAAGAGAAAAACTGTCCCCAAGACCATATCCCTTTGAAATGTTTTCAATGCTTGGAAGCAAAGTCATTGATCAGAGCCAAGGCATTGCTCGTCTCTTCCGCCACACTCACAATGCGTGTTCTGATTAAGCTTTTCAGCTCCCCATTCATGGCTTTCCCTCCAAATCCATCAAGACATGTGGTCTCATCTGTCAGAGCCGCGCTTGTCCATGTCCGGACATTGCTCAGACAGAACCAAAACTCTTCTCCGCTGTCACCTTCCTCCAGATGCTTCAGTTCCTTCAGCGAATTGCTCAACCTGTCAACAGTGTCTCCCATCTCCTCTACACAGTCTGCTACAGCCTCGTGCTGCCTCTTTGTGATTCCCTTATAGTCAGTCATCTCTGAGACATAGGTTTTGGCTGACTTTGCTCGGGCTATGCTAACGGCAAGCGCTGTCTCAGCAAGCTTACGTGGCTGCTTCTTGATCTCGCTTGCATATGAAGACAGGGACTGGAAGCATCGGTCCGGGTACGACGTCATCTCACAAGAGGCTTTAATGAACTTCGTATCACCACTTGATTCCTCTTCAAGGTTTCTGGCCATGGCTATTGCTGCAGTGGACAGATACAGAACAAAGAGAATCAAAGAAAGGTTGAAACTTCTTGCCATTTTGGATTCCAAACACAAATGAGTTTTTTTAATTCAACAACTAAATGTGGGAGTAGCAGCAAAAGGGTCCAGGGTTTTATAGATAAAAGACTAATGAATGTGAGAATGCAGATACATTGATCCTTAAATCCTCACACACAAAGCCCTATTTCTTATTTATAACAAAAATGGGAGTTGGTTGAAATATCAATAAATGTGCAGCAATGTGAATACCAATGACAGAGGATAAGAGCTGTAACTGTGTGTCTTCATCTACTAACAACATATTTGGATCCTAGCTTTCTAAATATTGCAAGTTGTGGGTCCAAATGCACGTGACCAGTGACTAAACCCATGTGTATAAACCATATGAAGCACTGGTCACGAGAAAGAGCTTATCAATTGAATAATGCAGCAGGAAAAGTAGAATCTAGTGATGACATTAGTTTAAGTCAAATCTTACAAAAGACATCCCACGAGAATCTAGAAAGCAGAAATCACTTCTAACAGCTAACCAATCAGACGCGTTCACACACGTCATGTGATCTTTTTCTCTATGAACAAACAAGTCTCTTGTGTATGTGTGAAAGATCATAACTCAACATGATATGACATCATATGGGCTGATTTAAGAAGATAAACTCATATGTACCTTTTGGGTAGAACCAGTTTATGTCTCCAATCCTCTATCCACCAACATCTGCCTTACTCTCTCAACATCCTCTGCTCTTTTTGCTTTGCTATAAATTCTCATCAACAGCTCGAAATTATGTTCGTTATCAGGTTCTAATTCGAAAAGACGTTGAGCAGAAACCTCTCCTATATCTGTATTTCCGTGGAGGTAACAAGCGTATAACAAAGCTCCCCAAACGGTTGGACCGGCCTCGAACTCCATTTCTTGAACAATCATTGAGTAAGCCTCTTCCATCATCCCTGCTCTTCCGTAGAGATTCACCATGCACGCATAGTGTTCCATCTTTGGGTTTATCCCGTATTCCTTTGACATCAAAGAGAACAGTCTCTCTCCATCTTCGACCATTCCTGTATTAGCACAGAGAGATAGAACAGAGACAAACGTGATACCATCAGGTTTAGCATCAGCATGTTGCATCTGCTCAAAATACTTGAAACCATTAGAATCTCTAGAATGAGCAGAGATGATAGCATTCCAAGATACGGTATCTCTCTCGAGCATCTGATCGAAAATGAAGCAGGCTTGACCCAATTGTCCCCTTTTGGAGTATAGAACAATCAAAGCATTCGCAACCGATAACTCCCACTCCATTCCTCGCCTAATTACCCATCCATGTAACTGTCGTCCATGCTTGAAAGACAAAACACGAGCCAGAACACTGGAGATAGCAACCTTATCAGGATCAATCCCATTTTGAACCATTAGACGAAAAATGTCCAACGCCTCGTGTAACAAGCCATGATGAAGGTAACCAGTCAACATGGAGTTCCAAGAAACATAGTCTTTGTTAGGAATCATGTCGAAAACATTCCTTGCTTTAACAATGTCGCCGCATTTCGCATACATATCAACAAGAGCATTGAGCACATGTACATCGTATCCGAATCCTGCCTTAACCAAATCACGGTGAATTGCTTCTCCAATTTGAACAGACCCAATTCCTCCACAAGCCTTTAAGACGCGTGGGAAAGTGAAGCGGTCTGGTTTCACGCCGTCTTCAGCCATCTGAAAGTAGAGAGCCATGGCGTCTTCGTACTGACCCAATTCAGCGTAACCTGAGATAAGAGAGTTCCAAGCAAAAGGCGATGATTCTCTCTTAGACATTCGATCGAACACCTCGTGTGCAACCTCCGCGTAGCCACAAGACGCATATAGCCTAACCAGCTTCGACGAAATTCCCACGTTATTGCGCAAGAGGTAGGGAGGTATAAGGTGATGAACTCTAACGCCATGGTCAATAGCTCTTAAATTGTAGCATGTTTCGAGAAGAGAAGCGAAGATCTCTGGTTCGGTGATTGAGATACCTTTTTGAGCTGAGGCTTCGAGGTCTGTAATGACGGAGTCTAAGGCTTCGAGTTGGGTCCGGTGAATCGATTGTTTTCCGATCAAGAGAGGAGTGGGAGATGGTTTGGTGAAAGAGAGGGAAGTGAATCCACTGTTGTTGTATTCATTTTGTCTGTGTTGCTTCAACTGTTGGTGATGTCTGGGTTTCTTTTTCATTGAGGAAGACGATACAGATGGATAAGAGAAGCTTGGTTTGTGTACAACGATACTCACCATTCTTCTTCTCTTTTCTCAATTTTCTTCCTTAGTTGAGAATTCGATAAATGGAGGGAAGCAGAGTCTTATGAGAATACATTAAATAAATTTCTCAGAAGTTACATACTTTTTTGGTTTGTTTACCTTATGATACTACTACAAAGTACAACAAACAAAAAGATGCAATGCGAATTGCATATAGTGCATCAAAATTCAAGAGTAATGGACAAATTTCAGACTGGTCGTCTTTTGTCAAGATGAATTTTCTACCAAACTCGAACCGAGATGGGACTTTGGATTTACATGACTACTCTCCTTCAATTGCTGCACACCAAAATTGCAGGTGTTAACACAAATCTTGTTCTACTCAAAATATGGATTGATCTGTGCGAAGAACGGATTAATTATGATTTTCTCGCCAAGTTCTAAAGATATACAACTTTATGTTAGAAATCATGATGTCTGGATGATGCCTGATTGCCTACTGTCTGGATGATGCAGACAAGAAAAACTTTTGGAATTGAAATGCAGTGAGAGAGACAGATAATGTATACCTCAAATGAATTGAAAATAGGTAGGACATGTTGGAATATGTCATCTACTGTTCCTACTGCGTTAATCTGCACCAAAGATGAAAAATATCAAATAAGGCATTTGAATCAAACATTATCAACAGCTTCTTCAACCTTCCAAACCCAAAATATCAAATAAGTACAAAGATTAACGAGATGAAGTCATAAATGTTTGCAAAGAACTCACAGTGTAGAGTTTTCCTTTATTTTTGTAGTAGTCAATAACAGGACGATTTAAGGCATTAAAGATTTTGAGACGCTTCTTCATTGTAGTTATATTATCATCAATTCGGCCCTGCATCAGCAAGGGATCAGTTTCATGGCACTGTTAACTTTAAAATAGTAAATGAAGAGTACTGTAAAATAAGCACCTGATTACGATTCAAGACTCGTTTCACCATTTCTTCTTCAGGACAATCGAAGAACAGTACTACATCAGGGTCTGCTCTTATCTGCAATAGAATCAAGGAGCTATTTCATGTTCAAAGCTTTGTTGCAAGAGTATATTCATGTAAGAGAAGATACTACACCACTTACTATGCGCTCAAAAGCAACACGGTTCTCCTCAGTTCGTGGAAATCCATCAATGAGAAACTTGCGATTGTCACTCGATTCCAACTCTTTCTGTATTAGTTTTACTGTAACTTCTGAAGGTACAATCTTCCCATCTTTAATCAAGTTCAAAATCATAGCCCTGAAATTGAGATCCCCTCATCATAATGAGATGACCACAAACTTTTGATGCATTCTTAGTAAATAATACATTGGATATATAGAAACTTCATCTTTCTACCCATTTTCCGTGTGCATTGCGATTTCTCTCCTGAGCAAATCTCCAGCACTTAGATGTTGCAATCCAAAAGTCTCAACAATTTTTTCGCATTGTGTACCTTTTCCACTTCCAGGACCTCCTGATATTTGAAATCCATCAGACTATATTCAAGTTATTCAAATGTTAAAGCTAGATTGATACAAATGACCAAATGTCTATTTACTTCACATGAATGGATTACTATAGATCGTGTGCCCATGACTGAAGAACAAGTGAGCGTTTATATCATCTTCAACTTTTTTTCACAGGAAACTCAAATAGAAACCTAGATAGATTCCAACTCATAGGTTCCAACATATTAAGCACCAGAATCCAAAACTGACCTAGTACAAATGTAATAAATGGAGCTTTCTCTTTCGGCGGTAAAACTGGTTCTTCCTGTGACAGATAATAAAACACATTTAACACAAAACACACAATTAACGGCGAAAAAACAAATTAATTGAGCTTTTCCTGATCTATATACCGGTTTAATTATGTCTGTTGCAAAAGATTCCCCAACTTTGAGCCCAGAAGCTGCCTAGAATATGAAGAAATAAGTAATGAACTGAGTTAAAACCCACAAACCAAAGATTCAAGCAGAGAAAGAGACAACGATTGAATTTCCCCCGGAGAAAAAGCGATCGGGATTGAAAATTTGTACCTGTTTAAGCATAAGGGATCGGGATGATGAAGAAATCATCGGAGAAAGTAAAGCCACGCGTCTCCACATCTTATTCGTCGTCTTCTTCCTTTACTTGTCTGCGATTTCCTTTACTTCATCAGGTATCGATTTTGGATTTTTCGATTTTCAGAATCGAGCAAGAAATATCGTCGCAAAAAAAAACAGATCACGGAGAATAAAATAATGATGGAGCAGTGCGCCAAATTAATTTCTTCAACGTTCTCGCGACACCGTTTTGGTGGGATTTGTGTTTGTATTTCACAAAGCGACCTCTGCGAATATTTATTAGCAAAAAAATTAAGAATAGGTCAAAAAACTGAATATGACTCTAAATTAAAGCGAACGTGAAAGTTTACCATTTAAAGACGCGAACGCTGTGTCGTTTTTAGCCTCCCAAAACAGCACGTGTGTTCCACCCACAGCTTCTTGTCCCTACTTCCATAATCTGAAATTCTGAATGTTGCTTAAACGCAGTGCACTACCACATGGGGCAGAGATGAGCAAATTTCGGAGGGGACAACACTGGACACAAGCTAAAAAGCTATAGACATACATAGTGCCATTACGTCCAAATAATTAAATCAAAACATATATAAATCTTGTAATTACGGACTCAGGCTTACGAAAAGATAAATAAACAAAGAATATATATAGTCAGAAAGAAAAATGACGGTTCCCTTTTAATTGGTTTAACTTAGTCATGTTTCTTGCATTTGGGTTGATGACATCTAATCTATGACGGTGTCTTGGTGGCACAACCAAACTATACCATATCAATAACTGCTTTCTGCTGACCAAATCCTTAGTTTTGTTTATTACTGTGGCAAATTTGCTGGGATGATGAGGCTTTTAGTTACTGTCGAGTGTGGCCTTCACTATCCATTCGCAGATAATCGGATTTACCTCTTCTGGGATTTCATCGTGGGGACAGTGACCTATACTTGCAGAGACAAGAGTCAAGAAGAATGATATATACACAATCTATATTGAAGGTGTATAGGGTTTTTAGCAGTTAGTTTTTTGCTTTACCTGCATTAACTTGCTTAATCACCATCGCTGGACAAAGCTCCTTCAGTAAGGCTACTTTCTTCTTCGGATCCGATATGGGATCTTTCATCCCCTAATACATGAATGAAACTGATGAATATTGATCCTGTGTAATCCCTAATAGAAGTTAGAATGAGGATCCAAACAATGTTTGTAATCTTGATACCTGTATGACTAGAGTTTTTTCCTCAAACCCTTTGAGGAGATAATTCAAAGGAAGCGAAAGATCAAAGCCGAAGATACTTTCCAGGACCATAACCACACCGGGGTCACGAGACTATTGTGTGTTTTAAGGTAATGTCTCTATCATCAATATTTTACTTGCAGATCATGAACCAATTAATGCAAAAAAAAGAAAAGGATACTGCTCTTAGCATTTCAGTGACGAGAAAGTCATCAGCTCTTGCAGGTTTCTGCATCATAAACAAGCAGTTGGGTTAGAAATTTGGCACAATGATGAGCATTTATACTTTGTCATACAGCTGTCGAAATCTTCATATTACTTACAACTGGATAACAATCCTTTAATAGCCTTTTGACATTGAATTGTAGGAAAAAGAGAAGAAGTCGAGCACCCAGTTGTGCACCAAATGGAACTCCCCTTTCCTAAAAAAAAAGAAGGACAATAGGGTGTGATAATTACTTAATAACTTAATTCCTGAGCCAAAACTCTTAAGTTTTTCTAAAAAAATCTGAAAACTCAGATATTCATTCATTCAAATGATACATACTCTAGAGATTGGGAGAGGAGAGTATCCAGGTACCACATTGCCAGCACTGTTAACAAGGACGACGGACTTAACCAAGGCCGGCCAAAGAAAGGCCATTAATGCAACGAAATACCCTGATAAAGGAAAAACATATATATAAAATTAAATGAGTATCTTAACCATTGTCCTTACGGATATATTACATCTCAGTAACTTAGGGTGCATACCACCGATTGAGTTCCCTACGCAATGTGCTGGTTCCCCAACTACTTCAATCATAAAATCCCGTAGCAATTCAGCCCACAAAAGCTCGGTGTAAATGATATTTGGCTTCTCTGATTTTCCAAAACCCAAGACTGTAATGGTCCATACTCGGTTTTTGCTATTTACAATGTTGTCTACATTGTCGCGGTAATGCTCTAGAAAAGCACCAAAGCCATGCACAAGAAGAACGGCAGGGCCTTCATTACCAACCACTGTGTACTGAAACAAGGAAGTGATTCCTCTTTATATTCCATAAGCAAATATAAAAAGATCAAGAAGTGTGATTACAAAAATGGCCAATGTAGGCCATAGGAGAAATATGAGTAATAAGTAATAACAGGAACCTGAATAAGATATCCCTTCCATCTCCAAATCCTTATAGCGTGCCTTTTTTCATCAATCCTCTCTCTATTTAGAGCCACGAGATAATACCACTGCCAAAACAAATCCAACAGCTTCAAATATTTTGGAAAAGAAAGTAGGAGCATAGAGATATCATGTCTGTGAGTCTTTGTACCTCCATAGAGCGCACAGCATCGGTTGCAGCAGACACTGTGGCAGCTGAATATCCAAAGGGAGAAATAAATCCAGCATTCCTTTCTTTTTCATACTCGATTGCTTCATAGTGAACACTTCTTCTGGATACAATACCAAGACAGAGGACAGGTCCAAAAAGTTTGAAAAATGAAGCTCCAGGCCTAATCTCGGCATCACGAAGTCTCGCATGAACCCTGGTCAGTATCAAAACCAACGCCAATCACTCTTCAACAAGTTCTAAGATAGACCAGAAGCATCCCACTTTCATATGATATGCATCTGGGAAGCACAATAACGTCAGAATTAAGAATAGCCACGTACTCTTGCCATTCATCTCGACTTGTACCCTCCAAGTACCTCAAGTATCCTGCTAGAGCATTGAGTACAGCCTCATTTCCACCTCCAACAGTATCTCTTTTACTTGTGACAAAAGCAGAATTGTCAACCTTCTTCCCTAAACTTCCATCAACAATTGGCTCCATACTGCTTTCCTTCAAATTACCAAGCCTTTCCATTAATACTCTTTCAGCAGATGCCTCTGCCATTTCCCTCCAGCTATTTTCTTTCTCGCATAAGCTTTCCTTCAAATAGTCCTTCAGGTCATCGAGCGTTGGCACAGAACCTGGAGCATGTTTCATTTACCATTTCCCCTAGCGTTAAATGGCTCACGAATCAGATATCTAATGAAACTACTCATTTAAGAGATCCAACTCCATGAATTTTGAAGAAAAGCTCACCCCATTGCAATTCACTTCCTGGGGATGAAAATCTTGCTGCAGGAACTGGCAAAGAGATAGGCAGCTTTAGTTTCTTAAACTCTTCCCAAGATTGTGGTAGATCCGTCAAATTCTAGAGGACCAAAAATGTGTCACATAAATTACTGGTTCCAAATCTCAATGCAGAAACTGTCATTGCAAGAGAATCAAATACATACTTGGCTCTCGTAAAAAGGAGTCCGCCAAAAAACAATCCTTGGTTGTTCTCCAGATAAAGAAAAGCCTTCCAATTTTTTCTTAACACCGTCCAAAACATCACACAGATGGTATTCTACCTCTTCTTCCACAAAGACAGAATGAGCTCGTACCTGTAGAAATCCAGCACGTTCTTGTGACAAATGGTTATTCTCGCCTGAAAATTGTACTCAAATATACCCGTGAAGTTACCTCTTTGACAAGATCTGCAATGACATTTTCTGCATTCCCGTAACTGAGCATCAGATTTGATCCTTGCTTCTTCAAGGTTTTTCTCAAGTCTTCTAAGGCTATAATAGCTAGCTCTAAAGTGTCCGTTGTGTATCCTAGATACAGATAAGCTGTTGGATTAGATACCCAATCAAGTTACTCTTGGAAATGGAGGGTTGTGCCTATGGGATTCTAGCTACTTGATCTATGCAAAACCATTCCACTCTCCTCCTACACGCTATAAAACTAACCAGAGGTTCATCAACTAAAACATCTGGAGAATTCTTAAGAAGTCCGTATTGAGCTTAGGCCAAGAGCAAGATAATTTCGAATTTGTTCCGGTAATCGATTTAATATTTGGAATGTCCGAATGAACTTACTCGAGAGAATGCGACGATCGAGGACGTAGAGAGGTATGACGGAACTGTGCTTGGACGAAGCGAGGAGGCCAGGATGATCATCAACACGAAGGTCATGTTTAAACCACACAACCGCCGTGGAACCTTCATTCGTTGCCGAAGACAAACAACATCTGCATTGGTTCCTCCGGAGACGGTGAGGGATGAAATGTGGAAGAGCGAGCAACGCCATGACGACGGTGGAAGAACAGAATCAATGAATGAGTAGATTCCATGAACTCGAAGCGGTGAAAGAGAGAGGAATTGTGGTGGAGACTGACGAGTGACGAAGACTCGTTCAAATGTGTGGTCCACAGAGAAACAACAAACTGCTAAACGGCGTCGTATTTCACTAATTGCTCCACTCTTTTAAGCAAAACGCCAAAACCTTTTTGGACTAGCAATTGATTTCTGTACCTTATTTTGCTTTTCTTTTGACAGTTCTTATTTTTCTTTGTACAAAAATTTCTACAGATTATGATTCCAAATTTCTTAGGTCTAACTAGTAAAAGAGAGGAACTCAAAGGGAAAAAATGAGAAGAAAAGAAAAGTAAATGTTAGAGGAAAAATCACAGTTAAAAGTTTTTACTCATTGTTAGACTGACAGATGAATTGGCCAAAGACATGAATCTTTTATTTTTTTTGGGTTTGACTGGCTATTTATTTTTCTATGGAAATCAGAGTAATTTTTACTAAAATTTTAGAATATTTTTTTCTCACTCATTGTAATCATTCATGTGACATTGTTTCTTAATTGAGTTGACTTTGTCATCCAATGCTCTATAAAACATATAGTGTTCATTTAGATTTGAGATTATCTTTCAAGAAGAAGCGGCCATGGAAGGTCAAAGAGCAACCCAAAGCTCTATTATAGTTCCTTCTGTTCAAGAGATGGTGAAGGAGAATATGATCACGGCGGTTCCTCCGAGGTATGTACGGTCTGATCAAGACAAAGCTGAGATAGCCGTGGATTCTGGTCTAAGAAACCAGATCCCAATCATAGACATGTGTCTTTTGTGTTCTCCAACCTGCATGGATTCTGAGACTGACAAGCTCGACTTTGCTTGCAAAGAATGGGGATTTTTCCAGGCAAGTCTCAAGTGAAGCTACACTATTTTTGTTTATTGAAATTGCTCCACAAAAAAAACTCATTCTTTGCAAAACAACCCCTCTTTTTTTGTGTTAGCTTATTAAACACCCCATATGGATTTCAAATTTTATCAATGTGGCATGTCTAACAGCTTGTAAACCATGGAATGGACTCAAGTTTCTTGGACAAATTCAAAACAGAGATTCAAGATTTCTTCAACCT